CTTTTTTTTTTCGTACTAAGAAAGAAACAGATGTGAAAAACAGCACTTTATGGAGTACAGGTTTCGGCATAGCATGAAAGAGGTTTTAAGCTCTCAGATATATACCGAAAACAAAGTGGAAAAAGGAAAACAGGAACCAGATTAAATCAATTTTCATCCTCCATCCGTCTTCAATTTCTCCATCATGGATTTAACTGAACTGTAACAACAAGAGAGTCCTGGTGTTGAGGAAATAGCACATTATTATCACCCTGAAAGTTATAATCATGACATGGTCTTTCAAATACGGAGAAGATGAAAGAGTTTGTTGGATGTACAGTTGGAACGATAACACTCGGTCCTGCAGCAACAGGACACTTGATGGTATACAGTTGAAACTGAATCATTCAAAGGAAATGGATAAATTTATATAAATAATGTTGCTCTTGTGTAAAGAAAATCCTCATCAACACGTCTCATTTTCATTACATTCAAACACACCATAAGAAAAACACCTTTTTCAAGATTAAATGTAAAGTCTTTATAAAAATAGCAGCCTATATCATACAGTTTGTTCAGGAAGCGTGGCCGGCACTCTGAGCCAACTTTCCACAGCTCCCCTCAGAGACAGCATGTGTGTTAAAGATTATCCTTGTAGTAAACACACCGCTGAGCGAACCGTGGCTTTGAGTCACAAAAGCCACTGACCAATTTGTTTGGTTTGTGTCCTCCCATGATCATATACATGACTGCTGAGCATCATTTTATAAAATACAATACCTCCCACTGTGCAAATGGAGCTTCAAGTAATGTTATTCGACTTGCATGTTCATAATAATGAACATTAGTCTATATTTAATGAGGAGTGTGGAGAAAAAAAACATCTAAATCCTCATCGGTTAGTGATCAGCAGGGTGCAATATATCAGTCATTGCTCACAAAGGCACGAGTTTACGCCACTTTGTCACAGATACATTCAAGCGGATGTTCCTAAGCAGCCGGATATTTATTGTGCAGATTTTTAAATTGTACCGTAGAGGACTTCGCGGCTGGATTACGGCTCCACCTGGATCATAAAGTATGGAGATTTCCTTCGGTGTATTCTTATCCTTGGTGGGAGAAATTGAATTTCACAGCAAAATTTACAACTGCCAGAATACACATGAACCGGGTTAAGCCATGGCTGTTGACATCTCTGTGTGCCTGGAACTGTAAATTGGTAACAGTAGCATGTTTTGTTCATTACTTTAACTGAGGTGTGAGAAGATCAGGGCAGAAAACATGAACCTGACAAAGTTAAATGCACATTAAAAGGTGACACGTTGCTCAATTTTTGATGCCTTACTTGGGTAAGTATAGCATCGACATCGTTAATTACTAGGAGGAGAAGTTCGCCTTATGGAAAAGTTACTTAATCAAGAGGTTCTTAAAAGAACTCTACAAATGGTATTGAATTGTTTACTTTGGAAGCTGTAGTGCTGCTGAGCAAAGTATTACCTGCAGTCTACAATATAGCTAAGATAAGAGGGTTTTCCTTATTAAAAGGTTGGGACAAACAATGGGAGTGTTTTCAATTTGAAAACAACAGACCAGTATGTTCTTATAGAGTGACTTGTGCTTTTTCTGCCTTGCCTTTGTTCTTTCAGTTCATAATTGTGCCCAGATTTGCCGAGATTCTCCTGACATACCCCATTTAAGCAACATAATAAGCACCGGTTTGACAGTTCGATGATACAGCACATCTGCATGATTAATTCAGGATAGACTCATCTTTGGAGTCAGAGACAGGTTAATATCCTGCGCATCTGTTTTTGTTTGTATTTTACCTTTAAACCGCTTTTATTTTATGTGTCCTTGACATAAATTGTTCAATAAACGGGCAACTAATGGACAAAACCAACCTGCACAGAAAAGAAGAGGGCGGGCATTGTTGGCGTATCATGTCAGCAGATTTTGTTCCCACTGAGACCAAACCACAAAAAGAATCTTAAAAGACTCACATGCTTTATGGATTCCCATGGAAAAATGTGTTTCACAAATGCTGCTCACAAGAGAGCAAGAGGAGAGGAAAATGTCCAACTGAATTTGCTTTAAAAAACCAAAATGTAAATCCACTTTATAGAGTTGCAAAAAAACCACAAAATTTGAATTTATGGTTTTATTTATTAAATTGGCTCACGAAAGAAAATTAAAAGATGAGATTCATTAGACCCATACATGTTCATGCAAAATCCAGACTAACAGGATGAGAATTTTACATATAGAAACTGTTTAAATGCACAGGTGCCACCTCTTGTGTTAATTCAAAGTGACAGTCGGGTTCACAAACAGTCTGTTGTAACTCCGAGAACCCAAAACCCCTCTCTTCTCTCTGGCTCTGGAGGCTAATGTGCATATGTGAATAACAAGCAAACATAACAGTGTTTCTGCGTTGCCCTCTGTGAGGACACATTCCTCGCTGCTCCTGCTGCAGCCTTGTCATACCAAACAACATGTAAAAATGTGACCCATATGGTCTCCCTTTCAAGAGGAACTGATTGAGCTGTATGGAAGTCATAGCCCACCCACAGAACACAAATAAGGAGAACCATATGTGGGGAGATGAATTAGGTAAACTGCACAACATTTTTATTAGATACAATTTCACTTGCCTTGTGGATGGACTGCAAGGTGACACTTTGAAAATAAACTCTGAGCCACAGAAAGAAAAAGATCTCTGGTTAACACGGGGTAAATCGATGAAACGTGGAATTACTAAACCAAACGAACAATAACTATTATTCTGTGCAGCTGTATTAGACGAACCAAAGGTGATCAAAAACAAGCATCGCGTCAATCATGTGACCTGCCTGCATCAGAGCCGGGGGTACTTTTAATTGACCGCATTAATGATAGTCACAAATGTTAGGTTTAACTGGAAGTGTGTCCTTACAGGAACCAGCGTATTAAACTCCACTAAGACGCTGAACAAATGTTTAGCTTCACAGTTTATGGGTATGTTTGTGTAAAATCCAACTTTACTTTCATGCACTGCTGGTCACATTTGATTTTCATTTACAGTGTTCTGATTGAGAACACTTGCCTACAAACTGGATAACAACTCAAAATACTTTAAAATCACTATAAATAAATCACTATAGGGAATCGAGGGAAGTGTTTAGCAAGGATTGGAAGCCTTAAAAATATTTACTGGCATAGAAAAATACACATATTAAAAGTATGAGGTGGGCTTTTTTATGTATAGTTGCAAGAAAATACTAGAAAATGGGATTTACTCATTATTAGAGAAGAAAACATTGTCCCAAAAAAACACATCTTCTGTAATTTAATCTGTGTTGCTCACATTGTTAGAGCACATCTGTGAGTGCCTCCTGCACGGTAACCTTTGTCTGTGCGTCTGACAAGATTAATAGCTTGTTATAGTGGCTTTTTCTATTTATGTTGCAGTATTTGTAAATGCATTTCCTGCTTGTAATGGCTACATTAAAATAGCCTGAATCATCGAGCAATTTATTCATTTTTGCTGGATAAAGGAACATGTTCTTAACAGCGGCTGACATGGACGTGTCTGTTTTCTCAATCAGGTTAAGAGAATAAACATGTATGTGGTAGAAAGAAAAAAAAGAAAGAAGTAATTTCAGCACCTGGAAACACATCCTGACATTATGTAAGTATGTCTATGTAGAGTCAACAGTATGTTGTGACATCTACTATAAACCTGAGAGCATGATGCATGAATAATTCACAAGAAACCCTTCATGAAAAGTAAACTAGCGGGGGTTGTGACCTTTTTCCAGCGTGTTTCAGAAGTGGCCACTCGAAGTGCTGATCTGATGAATGTCAAGGCACCTCTGACTCACTGCAGGCTGGTTTTGACCGCGGGGGTCTCAGAGGAGAAGGGGGCCACTATATTAATCTGCCCTGAGTATGGCAATTGTTACCCTTTCCTTTCATGTGGTCAGGAGGTTGCTGTCGAGAACGGGCTGCGTAGTTTTGGAGAACTTAAATAGAAGCTCATTCATAGCAGCTCCCGCATTACAGACAAGGAAGAAATGTTGCTAAATTGGAAAGAATCCATGATATTAAACAGTAGATGGGATTGTTAAGTGCTCGGAGTAATCATGCCAGGCAACAGGCCGCAGGAATGCAAATCACCCCCTCAAGCCAAGAGTTAAGTTAGCAGGTGGCCTCTTCTATTCACTGAATGTCAACACTCCTTTTAGATGGAGCCCACATAACATCTGGGCAGGCCAGCCACTGCTTTTAATTAAGTGAAATACAGTCACTCAATGTTCTGCCATGTCAGAGAAAAAATGTTATAAAATGGGAGGGTTTGGGGGGGAGAAGAAGTGCAACAGTACATATCCTGTGTTCAGTGAAGGTCAACACAGTTGTGTAAATAAATATTAATCCTTAACCTAATCCCTACATTTCCAAGACCATTGAAAATCCCTGCGTAACCAGAGTGCTTTTCTGGAAATAGCACGCTTTCTTGCAGTTTTCTGGAAGTTCTACTGAATCACTACAACAACACCAACATAGTTTTGTTTATGGTTTCCACTTTGGTAGCAGAGGTGAACTCAGCCCCGAACAGACTGCGACATCCAAACAGGAGAATAAGCCGAGGCGTACCATACGTATCACATGCAGTAAATAATAAAGTAAAATGATATATCTTTCTCTGCTGGCAGCCCCGTGATAATCACCCTTTAGGGCTTGCTTTGGAGGTCACAGCACTGCTTTACTGCTAAAACTGTACCACTAGCATTACCGCTCCCCAAGAGCATGTCAGCAGGCTCCATGGGTGGACCTGTAGTTTATATCTCACATGTCCAACATTTATAAATCCTAGACGGTAGTCCAGCAACAGTGTGTAAAACATCCACAGAAACACTAAAGGACATCAAGAATTTGACAAAGCCGGAGGACTTACAGCTACATAAGCTTTTTTTTTTTTTAGCAGAGAGGATGATAAATTGAGTGAGAAAAGCTGCGAAACCAAGTCAAGACAAAGCAGCAGATAAGATCTTTCAAGTGGTACATTTATTAAAATACACAACACTCTACGTTAAGATATACTTCCCAAACACAAGCTAGAATTAGTGTGGAGTCCACCGAGGAACGAGGAACAGTGTTTATGGAAGAGATTTACATAAACATTGTTAAAAATGACATAATTTGTAAAGCATTCATAAGTGAGCACTAAACATTAGACAAGTTTTATTCCAGACTGACATAATCCTCTTTTGAGAACACACTCTCTTATAAAAAAAAAAAAAAAAAGCTGGCTTGGAAAAGGTGAAACAGTATCAGCGCTGAAAGATGGTGACAGCTTGAAAATAGCTTTGGGCAGTTTGGTTTATATTAGAGAACACTCACTGTTTTTTTTTCCACTGATCCAATTTGATTTAAAATATTTCCAACAGCCGGTTCAAGTTGTGATGTTAGTGCTAATAGCATCATATTGAGGTTCCCCTTCTTTATGAAAATCTACTTGCGGTTTATGTATTCGGTCATATTATTCTGTATATATTAGTTATACATAATTATTGGTCCATTATGGAAGTTAACTAAAACAAAAGTAGCGTTGAAGAAAAGAATATCACGCACTGACCACCAAGTATAACTCCTGATAACTTACGAAGCATTCCTAACACATTTTACATTGGAAAAGGAGGAACAACGAGCAGAAGGGGAAGCGATCGTGATGACTCCAGTGAATAGTTTACTCACAAAAGTTATTATACAGATGCAACCAAGACGGAGTATATGCCAACGGACACAAAAGTTAAATGATAATTGATATAAAGTAAAATCAACATTTTGTCCTAATCATTTAAATATCACAATATTCAGTGCTATTTCTTTGTTTTTTAAAAAAAAGGAGAATAAATTAAGTAATAAAACTTTATATACATAATACTGTACATCACATCACACCTGCAGCAGATGTGTTTTCCAGCGATTCCCGTACCAGATTGCATAAATTAAACTTTCACCACTAATGGCAGCCACAAGATCTGACCACCATATTTCTATACTTCTTCAGGATAACGTTGGAGCTGTCATCAAAGTAAAGCACTGATATTGCGTTGAGCTTGGTCGGGGCACAGCACGGCTTTGGCACATTGTCAGGAAACATTAAATGGACCTATAAATGAGAGCATAAAGCAGGTTTAAAAGAGGTGCGTTTCAAATGACTTATAAACGGTAAGAACATTATTAGCTTATAATGCACTTTTATTGCAACACGCATGTGCGATACACTCCGAAGAACACTTACCAGGGTTTGCACAATCGCGTGATTCGTTGCGTTCATGTGCGCATTGAGTGGGAACGAGCATTCGCCGTCACAGTAAAAAGCGGCGTAGCCCTCCGGTGCAATGATCCAATCCTTGACAAAAAGAGGACAATTCTTTATTTAAAACGCTATTAAGTTTTCTCATAAACTCTCTGAAAGAATGTGTTATTTATTACTCGTTCTACTATGTTGACACATTAAATAATTGTGTCCTACCTGCCAGCCCAAGTCTCGAAAGCTGACATAAAGCTCGTGCTTCTTGCAGGCTTGCTTCTGTTCGCTGGTGTTATAATCTGAAAGGTAAGGTTACTTATTATTGTAGCAGCACGTCTTTACATCTTGCTTTTCGCTTACTGTAGGATGTTACACCAAATGTGTTGTTTTTGGAGTTGAGCTGAGCAGACAAATTACACACGTGGACAATAGTTATTCATCCTGTGTGCTCGGGGAATAATTATTCCTTGAAATGAATAATGAAACGTACAGTGCCATGCGATATGGGAATAAGCCACAATCCATTATGTCTTCCACTCACACTGAGCACTCATATATTTACAGCGGTGTTAGTTCAGTGTAAAGCATTTAACACTGATTATAAAAAGGAATAAAAATGACAGATTTCTTATAATTTTGCGGCTTTTGATCCTCCAGAGAAGCATTTTCTAATCTAATGCTTTGGCAGAAGAACAGAAAGAAGCTACTGTTTCTGCTCATGTTCAGCAAAGTTCACAATCTGAAAGTAAAGACTGACTTTATTTTTATTTCCTGGCAGTTTTGTGGAGACACAGATGAGTAAGTTGGCTAATCTGATGAACACAAATGGACTGTCTGATGATAAAGGACACAGTGAAAATGGATCTAATCTAAATATCAGGTGTACATAAATGAGGTTATAAAAAAAATACTGTCATGCATCATAAGTGCAACTTACCTCCAGCTTTTGGTGCCTTGGAAGATTCTTGTTGATTATTAGATTTATTGCGATTGTGGTTCTTCTTCTTCCCACCAGCAGCTCTGACAGAGCGAAGCAACACCCCACTGGCCTTGAAGAAAGCAACCAGGAACGGCTGTTTGGACTGAGGCCCGTTCCTCCCGACAATTCCAGCAGATTTTATGTTGATACTTCGTCCTTTACCAAAAAAAAAAAAAACCCAGAAGGAAAATAAAACTTTTAAAACAAACTTTTAAAAAAAAAGTTTCTTTTTTATCAGTTTACGTCTGCTTTCAAGATGAGTCTCTAAATGTGGAAAATAATCACAATCCAAATATTATTAACATTTGTGCTGAAGTCAAATCAAACTTTTTCTTCTTAAATCAAATTCAGACACTGTGGACTGTCTCAAAAGATGAACTTATTGATCTTTTCCAGAGTCCAAGAGGTTGAAAAAAATTTGGGAAGATTATAAGTTAAAAAAAAAAACATTTTTAGAAAGAATAACTGAACTTTACTTGCCATCCACAGTCTCCACACAGAGCTGCAAGCCCAAGTTCTGCTGTGGGTTCATCACCCAGTGGTTACTGGTGGCTGTTATGTCAAACACTAGCCAGCCCCCGTCGGATGCCTGCACCTTTTTGGAGTCAAGCAAGAAGGTCTCTGCATCTCTGAAAGTAAGAATAAAAAAAAAAAAGAAAGAAAATGAGACAAAATTCTACATTAAATAAACCATGGTTAAGATGGCGCACGCTCAAACAGATGCACATGAAAGCAGCATGACTTTCAAGAGAATTTAGAATGAATCCAACAGACAAACAGAAAGGTATCTGACAGATCACAAATGAGCGCTTTAGTCCAAACTTTGTGGCCGCTTCTTCATCCTTTCGAGACCAAACTTTTTTTTTTCTTCTCTAAAAAGCCCTTCAGTTTTGCAAAGTGATGATTTGGTGTGTAAACGTTACTTGGTCATTTTTTTGTGTGTGAGCTGGATCGACATGAAAAGAAAGTATTGCTGCTATTGTTAAAAAAAAAAAAAACTGTGACTCATAATAAAGTGCAGAAATGTGTGGTCAAATCGGTGCCAAGATTTCAGCTATTTGATGGACAAAACATTTCAGGAGTTATGAATCATGTATCACAGCTTTGGTGTATTTTCAACGTAAGCTTGACATACGGCATCAATTAACCCCGAGTAGAAAAAGCCCCGCTTCGCAATTTGCATTGGATTCCTTTCAAGTGGCAGATCGGATAAGGCAGTGCCTGCTAAGTTTTTGTGGTTACGTGGTGCCGGTCTGAGACAACCAAGATTTTCCATGTGGCCCCACGTGTTTATTACAGGTGTAATAAAAATCAAGATTAATCCTTATGAGTGACATACTGCTGAACTTCCTCTTTGAAATGTACAGTTTTAGCTCACATCCTGCAATAATTTAGCTCAGGTACAAGTTTACTAATCGCGGCGCCATATCCAAGAGGAAAAATGTTTGTCTCGCGCCTTAATCTGTGGTTACTAGATGTACTGTTCCACTGAGACAGCTGAAGTGAGCGGATACCAAAGGACAGCGGTAACTCTAGACTTTTTAGACAAATATGTCCCCAGCAAATTATGTTCATGCGCCACTATTCTCCATTAGGAATTTATGGTCAGTAGCAAAGTTCAGTAGCAGTGCAGGATGTAGTGTGACGCTGATATAGTGGGGTGAAAGGAGATCAGGTTGCTGCGTAGCTGTTGCCTCCAAAGGTAAACTAACTTTAAAGGTACCTTGTGGAGTATTTGAACACTAGTGGTGATATGAAAAAAATGTATGTTTAAGAGGTCCTTTGTTTTGTATTTTATCTGCTCATGTGCACAATTACAGTTTAGCAGTGTGCCAGTAAAGGCAGAGAAGAAGAAAAATGCAACATGCAAACATAAATGTAGTTTCTACCACAAATCATCCCTGCCAATGTTTTAAAATAACTAAAATGCATTTAAAAGGTTTCTTGGACCTCACTAACACACACACACAGTGCATTTAAACTGTTTACAAAAAACTCGACAGAGTCATTTTAACACCATCATCTAGGGTCCAATCTCACACTCACACAAGTAGTGAGCAATAATGTAACACTGACTGCAGCCTGTATGTAATCCTGACAAAGTGATTTTTTTCAAGTAATGAATGGACATGAGGGAGCAAGGACAACATAACTTTCTTGCTAGAACTGGTACTAACATGCATAGTTAGCACCTTCAAACCCAACTTTTCATTTTCTACTTATACATACTTTGGGTGGTGCATAAATGGATTTTGCAGAATGGCCCAAATGAAAGCCAGTGCTGGTGTTTAATTTGTGTTTATTGTATTTGTTTAATCAGAACTCTATCTGATGTGCTCAAGAAAAACAGAAAATAATGTATCTGGTTTTACAAATGAACAGCACACAAAATTCACTGTGAGAAGTAAATAGCTCAGAAATTCAGATTGTCCATAAGATTGTAGCTTTTGGAAAGTCTTGGTCCTGTGTGTGAACACTAATTCAGATCAACTTTTCTTTGTGAAAACTTGTGTGAAAACACAAAATGAGCACTCTTCCCCTTTAAGATGGTAGAGTCCATTGACTCGGACCTTTTCAAAGCCCAAGAGGGCCATATCTTCCCTTCAATCACCCACACACATTTTTGGCAAGCAAATGTGGGCCCACTTTTAAGTACACCCTTGTGTATTCAGCTATGTCATGCTTTAAACTTCCGGAATATTGTTAAGACAGGCAGGTGGTGGGCATAACAGTGACTACGGGAGCACCCGAGGGAGCCCTTCTCCCCCCTAATATGGGCCCTTCATCTGGGACACGGCCAACTTGGCAGGCAACACAAGACGAGTGATAACTGATGGACCTTCCAAGCTTCATAAGTGGCCAACTTGCTAATGGAGTTCTCTTTATCCGAGAACTATATTTGTAAGGCAGACATGGTGCGAATGAAGGAGAACAGAATTTCAGATAGAAGGATGTTCTTTGCAAGTGGAAAGTTTCAAACAAGAATAGACAAAAGCTGATGGAGTATTGGCCTTTTTAAACTGTGAAATAAGAAGACTGCACACATGAGATCAAGATGCACTTAGTTTCACCTTACAGTGAAATAACGTTTTTTGGGGGGGATTTTTAAACCATCAATTTATAATTACAAACAGGATGAAGTTTTCTGTCTGCTTTGTGTTTTCCAGCTGAGACTGAGGACAGACTTCATACAGGTTCTTTGAAAATGTTTTTTTTTAAACATTTGAGAGTGACTCATATGAAGCCAGATTAATTTTCTCTCAAATGTTAAAGATCAGTCTGTTTATACTCAGTGAATCCTGGCACTAAAAGGCAGTGATACTGTATTTCCTTTAATCAGTGGTGCAAGAAGTATAAGTAAATAATCAGTAGCAGCAAAATATACTTAAATTATGAAAAGTAAAAAAGCTCATAAAGTGGAAGAATGCCTACGGTCACAGAGTTATATTGAATTACTCTATAATTACGGATGTGTTACGAAGACGGCAGCATTTTATGTTTCAGCTATTTAAGGCAAATGAATTACTTTATATCTTGCTGCATCGTCTAATTTGTAACATAGATGTAGCATTTGTTTTTTAAAATCACAATATATGTCTGAAATTGTTTAAGTACAAGCACAAAGTAGCAGAAAATGGAAACCCTTAAAAAAGGCAGTACACTGCTTGAGTAAATGCACCTAATTCGTGGTTGATTTGGCACTTACTTGTTCTGATATTCCTTGATGACTTGATATATGGTGACTTTCAGAGTTATATTGTCGTAGCGGGCATGACTGCGGTCCTTATAGATCCGAAACTCGGCCGCAGTCACCGCCTCTCCGTCTGGGATCTGAGTCAGATCAAAACGGAACTCCTTGTAGTGTCTTCGTTGGTGAGAAAAATCTTTATCTTTCTCCACTGGGAAGGAAAATATTTTATGATGAACTTCATTTTTACTGGCAACAAATCTTGATCAAAACAAAATACGAGTTCACCTCTTGAAACTACTGCTTATGTTGCTCAAAAGAAAAAATATGCCAGTTCAGAAACAGCGTAATTTATCACATCTTCTTTTACATTCAAGGTCCAATCCAAACATTCTGACTACCAACAAAAGCACTTTCCAGTTCATTAAATCAGTCAACTGAATACAGGTAGCAGTTCCCAGACAGGCCCTCTACTGTGTGCCTAACTGCATTCTCTGGCCATGATGAATGGGCTGTCAGTTAAGAAAAACAGGCTGATTTCAATTAAAGACACTTTCGTCTGCTCCTCAAGTCAGAGAAAAGACCAGACAGGATTCTTCGTCATGTGAGCGTCTACTCTGACCTCATTTCTGCCCTCGTACTGACCTCTGGTTGGTTTCATTCAAGTGTTTTATGACCCTTAACCTTTAAAATGAAATATTTCTAATATAATGAGAAACATAAGATATCCTTTCAGACCTGCCATTTTTGGACATTTAAAAACTTGCAATGTAAGACAGCAGCACAAGCTTGCTTTTGCAAGGGGTCGTACCTATTTTTGTAGATAAAATAAAGCCCCTCAGTGCAATGATCCCAACATCACGGAGTCTTAACATTATGAACATGCTAACAAAGTGACCTCAGCCGCCTCACATCGTTACCAGGTAGCAGAAAAGAAGCATGTGGCTGAGGTCAGTGGATGTTGGGATATTCGTGGTGATATCATCCAGTGCTTTTCCCTGATACTTTATCGAGAGAGAACGCCTGTGGTTACTTAGCACAAACAGGTCAGAGGTCAGGTCTGACTTTTACCCATGGAGCGTGTTCCATTATATTAGCCACAGGCAGTAATCTGAAGCAGAAGTGCCACTGAGAGCATAGAGCATTTAACTTTCAAATAGCTAAAGATTAAATAATAATGACTTCACTCGCTGGTAAGACTGAGCTGTGTGCATTCTTGAGCTGTTGCTTATTAACTTGATGCAGCTTATTCTAGCAGGATGGTAATAAGATTTACAAATGACTGACTGTCATATCTTTAGTCCTCTTGCATACTTTTACGTGTGTATTTCTGGATATTTTAACAGCTGACTTCTTATTGATATTTTAAAAGTTTAAATGGCTACAGTAAGCACATTAGACTGCATGAAATGCCACATAGACGTTTCTAAAACAGTTGAGGTCAGTAGCTATATTTGAGTGTACTGTAATAAAGACAGAGCCCCATTGAACACTTCACTGACAGTCCCCAGAATGAGAGCAGAGCTTTCAAGGCTGACAGTGTACATGCCCTGGTATAGTGGTAAGTGGAAACAGATGGGCTCAGACCAACGTGAGGGATTATAGTATCAAGCAGCTCTACACAAATTCACCTTTACATGTTTTACTCCATATTTTAGAAAATAAAATCCTTAACGTTACAACACCAACATCATGTAAAGTATATTTTATGGTGATTGTTGTTTGTTCTTTTCGGGTACAGCAGTGCTGCGTCATATTCTGCTTTTAAGTGACTTTCCATGTGGCATGACGAATATTTTAATCGCCATTAGAAAACAATAAATTCTGCAAATGAACGCGACAAAAAAACACAAATATGAGGAATAGGGCTTCTGCTTTCGCTTAGTGCCAGAAGCTCAAATAAAGGCATCAGTCAATATCACTCCCCTTTTAACAACAGGAAATAATTTAGACCAGTTTTCTCAAGGTCAGACAGTCATCTGATAAGTTGCTCTGAACTGCTGGGTTAAGGGTCGCAGCTACTGAACAAACACCATCATTAAACAGATCAGCTGCCTTTTTAATCAAAAGCCAGCACGAAATGCAAAATATTTCACTTCAGTTGCCAAATACTGAGCGGTGTGTGAAAACGTGCAAACATATCCACATTTAGATGGAGAAATTCCTAAAGAATATAAACTATAAAAGACACTAAGAAGTTAATTTAGATACTGAGGACAATTTATAGTGTTTTTATGGGATGTGTTAAACCTAATCTACATGTGTCCAATTATTCTAACATGAAGGACAAGAAACATTAATTGGATTATATATTATAATAGGCTTTTTAAACAAGTGAAGAGAAAACTGAGTGCCGTGAAAACCCTTTGAAAGCTTATTAAATTCAGGTATATTATTATGGGAAATGTGGATTATGTAACAAAAAAACAGCTTTGCCTTCAGATGTTAATGATGCTGGAATCACCTGCATCTAATTCTATTGATTTAATGAACCTTGATGGTGAATCAGCCCACTTTCATGGCACTTACCTAAATTGACAAAACTCATGACCATGTCGGCGTCATTGAGAAAGTTGGTGTCGTGCGCTGTGGTGAGTGCGGGGCTGTGGCCTAACAGAGGGGCCGCTCGGTAAGGCTGAGCCACACGGGAGTAGCCGGCATGCTGGGGGCTGTAGTAACTTTTCCTGGAGTGCCCTTGAGCCTTGGCACCGAAGCTCTTCCCTGCGCCCTGCTGCGCGCCGCGCTCCTCCGCCGCCGCCTCCTCCTCCTCCACGGCCATGGCGTTGTAGAGGTCGAGCATGAAGAGCGGCGCGGAGGAAGCCTGCTTCCCGGGAGAGAAGGGCCTCGGCCGGTGAGGCAAACCCAGGATGGAGAGGATCTCTCTCTGGATCTCCCGGCGTTCGTGATTGCGCAAGCGCCTGTAAATAAAACTGGAGTGCACATGGTTGTCACTTAAACCGCAATGCGCGCAGGACAGAAAACTCAAGCAGCTCCACGCGAGTCCGAGCACGGCGCGGTTCATAGGTGTAAGCGCTGTCATCTTGACAAATAGCTCACTTGGAGATGTGAGGGTGAACTACATCGCACTCTGGGAGAAAAATCAAACAATTTACATCTCTGCCAATACGGAATCATAGACTTTCCATATCAGCCAGAGGCACTTTCACGGTGGTGGCTGAGGAAGCTTTTAGTTTTTGTTGTTGTCTTTTTTTTTAAGCAGTCTGCCCCTTTTTTACAAATGAGGTATCAGCTTGCAGAAAAATCGTCGCTCCTCTCCTGTGTGCGAGGCTCCTCCAGCCGTATTTACTCCTCCAGGGTCCATCCAAAGTTTCAGCCACTCCAAGTATTTATGGAGCTGTGACCCGGTTCCACACCTTACTCCTGTGTGATGAAAAAACGCGTAGGTACGCCCATAACGTCGAGGGATAACCCGGAGTTTCCAAATGGATGAAATGTGTTGAACTGTGTCAAAAAATTGAGTAGAAAGAAGCTCTCGTCTCATGCCCCGGCTCGCATTTTTTCTTTTTTCTTTTTTTTTTCTCCCTCTCCCCCTCAGAAAGTGTATTGGGGCTAGTTGCCCTTGGAGTCCATCCCACACTCAACTTTTGTTTTTGCATCCTCCTCTAGCGGCCGCAATAAAACTTTAGGCCGGTCCCATGATGAATGTGGCGGCTCAGGAGTGTAAAAGGAGACACTTGAAATCCGAGATGGCCGTCTTAACGAGTGAAAGAATAATGACAGAGCCTTTTAATCACCTCAACTTATTGAAGTCCGCATGTTTATAGGAGAGGGCTCCAGCTGCATTCACTGACAACAACAAGGGTCCTGTTTTATTACAGTGTGGCCTTAAACATGAGCCATGGGAATGAAATTAAAGCATTTTAAAAAAAATTTAATGCACAAAGTTGTGCTGCACACGACACTGCAACACTATCATAAGTCCAGTAGAGCAACACATCAGGATATAGGTTAAAAAATAAGCCATAAAAATCCAAGACAGTGCAAATTAAATACTGCAAATTACAAAAAGCACTGCAGATTTCTAAGCTACTATGATTTTCACCTTTATTATTACTCAAGGCAAATGCAGATTTTGTGTAGAAAAGCCTCATTGCAGTTCATTCGTGGAGTGTTAAAGCAACAATAATTAACATTAATAGCCACAGGGTCTCCATGTGATGGCTGGCTACTGTGCAAAGTTAGAAAAAGTAAGTCTACATGCTTGGATGTTGCCATACAGCGCCATCTAATGCACAAATCCTGAAACGTTGCATTTTTGTTTCTGAAGTCTTTCTTCCAGAGGCACTTTCACACGAAACCGCCTACAGCAGCTTTCTACTCGGAGCTGCACTCATCCAAGTTTCCTAAAGCAGTGTCCTCAGTGGAACAGTCAGGTGATGATCACTTTTTTTTCTTCTTCACTTTTTATTTCTTTGACGCTTTACTGTAAATGGAAACTCCCAAGGCACACACACACACACACACACACACACACACACACACACAACCACACCCAAAATTTCCAGCCTCAAAGTGAGATCAGTCATCTGATGGAGTGCAGGAATAAAATCTGAAAGTTCAAAATGCAAAAGAAAGTTCACAAATCATTTAAATGTTTTAATTCTAGTTTAAAAAAAAAAAAGAAAAATCGTACAAAAGTCACTTTAACACAAAATAATAAAATTACAAAAGCCGTTTAAGACACGTCACTGCTGAAATACACAGTTATGACTCTTATAAATAACAATAAAATACCTGCTACAGTAATGAAAGGCATGTCTGGGGAACATAAATGACATGAAATGGAAAACTAAAATGTCAGCATGTTCATAGATGGCATTTTACATCTTACATCCTTATTATTTAAAAAAAAAAAATATGACGAATGAATGAGTATTGTGATAGGAGGGGAAAGTGTTAATTTATCTTGGGTAATACACAATGTTAGCAGTTGTAAAAGGTTTTCATACTCAACAGTCAAACTGAACGCTTTAGAAACACAGGCTTACAGGAGCTCATAATCAACTAGAAGAGATCAAAATCACAGTTTTGTGCTGAAACGTGCCAATTTCAGAGATAGTTTATAGCAAAATGAGTCACTAAACATGTAATTGATAGGGTGTAGAAGTTGCGTTTTTCTTTAATGAAACATGTAGCACCTATCAAATGTGCAATAAGAATTTAGAGAGCAACATGCAGTGAAGCGACACAAGGGGGCAATATAGGAAAATGTACCAACCACACTGACATACAAGAGCGTACAAGAGTTCGAGGTGCTCAGATGAGAGCTTTTCAATGGAGCCAATTTTTAACTCTCTTCACTCTCTTCGTTAAAACCTTAAAGCATGTTCAAAGACAAGTGAATAATATGACAAAATAAAAACATCAAAGAAGCTGTGATGCTGACTGAGATGACATAACAGGTGTCAGACGAGGTACGTTTTGTTTCCGTGACAGAGAGAAACTGTAAAGATGAGATCTTCCTGAGAATGACTGTTTGTTCCGCATCAGCTCTAGTCTGGTGCCTGCAGAGACGCTGCGCTACATCAATAGTTTGGGCCTTTGCTGTAAGAATCCCGCCTCATCATACCGCCGTAGCACATGGAGGGATCACACACCCCAGGCTGGCCAGGGATGCCAGGATTACCACTTTTACCCTCTGCTCCATTTAGACCAGGAGCTCCAGGTGAACCTGGAGACCCTGGTTTACTGTACCCCTGAGGACCCATTGGACCTGTGGAGATAAAAATGCTAAGCCATGATCAGCTAAAAAGGATGATACAGACCATAAAATGTATCAGAAGAACATCAGAAATCAGTTTTAAGCACCACAGAAAAATCGATAACACATGATCACCTGTAAAAAGAGTGAATGACAGGAAAAACTGAACAATTAGTCGCATTATTTACCTGGAAGTCCAGGTGGTCCTTGGTCTCCGATCGTGGTCCTACCTGGGTTTCCCTTCTCTCCTTTGAAACCTGGTTCTCCTGCAAACACAACTGTCGCTGTAGGAGCAGTTTTACGGAATCTTTGTTAATGATATACTGCTGACTTGATGCTAATTTCACCTTTGAGTCCGTTCATCCCAGGGTGTCCCGGTCGACCAGGGTGGCCCGGCTGTCCTCTGGAACCACCAAGTCCAGGGAGACCCCTGAGTCCCTGCGGCCCAGCTGGACCTGGTGGACCAGGTGATCCAGGCCGGCTTTGACATCTGGTGCAGCTACCCTGCTGGTTGCTCAGCAACAATGAAGGCAGCTCAGCTGGGAAGATTAACGATGACAAGATTTCAGATGGTGAAAAGATACAGAAACAGCTCATCAATCAGTTTGTGATGACACTCACCTTGAAGGATCTCTCTGCAGATTTGACGAATGTGACTGTCTGACATGTCACTTGCCTGTAATGCAAAGTGATGGATGATGACAGATTTTCATGAACCTCTCTGTTATGTCAGTCAGCATCAAGTGTAACATTCTGATAAAAACCATGATCAACAATAATGCTGTTAGCACAATGTGTCACATACGGATCTTCCTTCAGGTCCAGGTGGTCCAGGGGGGCCAGTGTCCCCCTGCAGCCCTCTGGGGCCAGGCGGGCCTGACTGACCCAGCTGTCCAGGCCGCCCCACTTGACCTTCTTGACCTCTCGTCCCCGGATCCCCTGCTGTCCCTTTCTGGCAAGAATACCACCCCAGTGTTAGCAATACAATAATTATTCAGGTTGGATGTAGACGGATCACTTTATTCAGCATAACATACCTCTCCTTTCAGTCCTGCTGGACCAGTGGATCCCTGTAGGTTAAAGTCAGAATAAATCAACAAAAAACTACATTAGAATATGTTCAGAAAGCACTCCACTGCCAAACCCCAGGATATGTTTTTTTAATAATAATAAAAAAAATCATCATTCTAATCAGCATCAGAATGCATAATGACAGGCATCCACGGGCATGTCATGATAATATGTAAATAACAAAAACACTGCAAAATTTGAAGAATGACACAATTATAATCACTGTAGTTAGAACCAGTTAAAGTCATAATGTTGCTGTAGCACCACCTAAAGGTTGAAAAGCATCACATTTCTGTATTATCACGTTGATGTAGGACCATGTCAAATTAGGCTACATTTGCATATGTTTAAGAATTGTGGTGTTTTGATTATTCTGCTTTATAAGTCATTCTTTATGAGCTTGGCAGCAGGTTATGGGGGTATGACATACATATTTTAAAAAACTGTGAAGACTGAATGACATTTTCAAAGGTGGTAAAAAAGAAAAAAGAAATATGGTGGTACTGGACCAAAAAATGCAGAAAAACAAGAATTTTGTGTCTTAGCCTCAAGATTCAGGAGTGTTCATTAAAGCATACAAAGTGCTCTATAAATGGCCACATGGTGGTAGTGTTAGAGACTACAAATCATTTATTCACAAGTCAATGGATAACCTTTCAACAAACTCCACAAAATGTTCTCATCTGGTTGTATGTATACTATTTTTGATGGAGAAATGATCTAATAAGGAAATAAATTCAATACATTGTACTGTATGCTGATTAAGTTGCCCAAGTTTAAGTAAATCTTGCTACGTCGGTACTTTGGAAAGGTTGGAACATGAATCAGCAGTGCTTAAAATACATTTTAGTCTCTTTGTTTCATAAACGATAAAGCTGAATATCAAACATTAAAAGCAAAGTTCTTCTTTTAATACATATAGTGCAATATTTGATCAAAATACAAGTTTATTGCTTCCATATTGGTTGGATTTCTAGGGTTCATCATCACACAACAAAGCTGATCAAAAGAAACTCACATGAAGCCCTGGCCGGCCATACTCTCCTTTTTCACCTTTCAGCCCCTGGTGAAGAAAACATTAGATTAACGTTATAAAAGCACGTGAAATCAGGGGTTTAGACTCCAGTCAATGCTGTGAGTGCAATCTATGCTACTGTAGATGGTATTGTATATAAAACCGTCTATTCAACACATGATGATTGATGCATATTCAGAGTAATGTGTGCTTTAATGTGGCTAAATGTAGCACATTGACTCTCAATTGAATCGCCTAAATAACTATCATTACTCTTTCTTTGTTTCCAGAGTTTATTTTTCTGACATTAAGTGGGATCAGTTTAATGTCACAGACGCTGGACGCCAGTAGCACAACAAATATCCAGTAATTCTTCCAACAGACCAAATGTAGCTGATATGTTGTTGTTTTCCAAACCATGATACGTCCTGTGATAAGGGAGGCCTTATCTCCAGTGGATGGTTGAAATATCTTATATCTTATCTGTATTTCCAAGAGAGGTTCACACTTACAGATTGCCCACAGATGAAAATTTCCCGCTTTAATTTTAATGAGACAGACCAATTTTAATCCAACATCCAAACGTGTTATTAAATCTTGCTACCTTGGTACTCATGATGATTTAGAGGGCAATAAGGTCATAGCATCATCTACTTGTGTGATGGTTATCGGCAATGTAATTTTGTCTTGAAACTCACCGCCTCTCCTCTTTCCCCTGGATTTCCCCTTTGTCCCTGATGAAAGAGGAAGACACTGATTATTACTTAATACTATGTTTTTGTGGCAGGGACACAAGATAATTTAAAGAAAAAAATACATTGCCAGAATACAGTATTATCTATATCACAATAAAGGCTTCTCACATCCAACAGTAATAAGAATCTTTTGTGAAAATGTCCAAAAATAACATTTTGTAATGAACAGGGATAAACTATAACAGTTTTGAGCAACTGATTGTGATGTAAGGTTGCTGATGTGGAGTCCTTAGACTGTTTTTTACTGCAAGCTATTTCAGGACAGTCTAAACCTCTGAACATGTTTGGACTGCAGGAACAGCCTCTGTAGAACTTTTTTCTAAGCCTTCTTTAAGGGAGAAAAAGGTACCTACTTCAGGGTAGGCAGGCAGGACACGTTATGACCTGCCCTAAACCACAGCTGTGTGGGTCTCCACGCTGACTGGTTAAACTAGGAGAGGACAACAAGCTCTGTTTTTCCGCCCTTTTCATGCTGTCATTGAGTAGCTGTATTCTATCTCTAGCATCGCCATCCTAACTAGAAAATTCACCATATAGGCTAACATAACAAATCCTCTATTGTTCTAATGCCTGCATGCTCAGAGAACTGGGGCTGCATCCAGCAACTAGTCTAACACGGTCAACGCTGTCAGATTCTGTACCGCAATGGAAACAGAGACGCTGAATTGCCGATTAGGAAGCGCCAGTCTGAAATTCCTGCAGTGGAAAGCCACCTATTATTATGGCTGGCATTTCTGGAGAACTAATGTTAATAACCAAATATCATGGACTTCAATTTCTACATCTTGGTAAACCCTGACCACTAAATAAGAACAAATTTTGAATTTTCGAAAGGCACCATTATCACAACACTGGCACAAAACAATGACAGTAGAAATACCTTGCTTCCCTTCAGGCCTGGCATGCCCGGGTGCCCTGGCTGGCCTGCACTTCCTGGTTCTCCTGCACTTCCCTTTGAAAGCATTCAGTTAAAAACCAATTGTTAAAAACAAACACCTAAAAGTACTTGGTCACATTGTGGATGAACAAATTTGCTCACATTATTGGTTCAGTAAATTATTAATTTACACTGAATCACAGATAGATCCACCTGGTTTGCATCAAAATATTTAAATGGCAACATACCATTAGTCCTGGCGATCCATTTGCACCTGGACTTCCACTTTCACCCTTATTCCCCTTAATTAGGAAATAAAATATGTCTCATGTTACAGAAAACATGCACTGAAGAAACATCCTAACCACATCATATCAGTGACTGGAGTGCAGTTGCTATCTTCACTTTCTTATCACAATTAATTTTCATGAATGCACGCTATCGCTTGAGTATACTTTCATGAGGTTTTGTGATTTTGCAGCCTAAACTTTAATTGTGTCTAGTCATATGCTTTCTTTTCCAGTTGAACGAGCCTCAGTAATTGCAGTCTGAAGCTCAGCCATAAAATCAAAGTTTTGCCTGCTTGTCCATAAACTAGGTTTTCACTTGTGTGCCATTTACCAATACACATTGGCTTGTTAAAGGCAGATCGGCTAATGAAAAATGATTAGGAGACAGAGCGTCCAGACCAGACAAGCCCAGACTGCTTACATTTCCACTAAAATTCCACTGACGAAAGCAGCAGGGCCGGATCATCGCTTAATTTAGCTCCACTGGTGTGGCCAAGAAATCGTTACTTGTGCTAAAGTGTATTTTAGCAAAATAGTGACCAAACAAAACATGTAATGCTGCTGATGCAAGCAACTTTCTATGCTTTACTGTGTAATCCTTGCATAGAAAGTTTCAAAGGTTTTATCGAAGCTAATAGCACCATGTGCTGCAATGCATTTTGTATCGACTTGAGAATATCTTGGACGTAACGTCATATAACATCATGCAGCACTGATCTGCTGCACTTATTGGCAGCTGTACTACATTGTGCTTGAAGTCAGCTTACATCAAGACATGGCTCTGCCTGCAGCTTGCCGGTTGCTAATACCAGCATGTGCACATTGATCCGCAACTATGAACTTTTCTGGTTCACACTTTCAACGAATGCGCTCACAGCCCCGAGGATGTAGAGGGAGATCAACTCACATTATATTCACTTCACTTTTTATCCTTTTGAAAAGACTATATTAAACTTTTTGATGTCAACTGGTGTGATCAAAGTCAGTCATTACTTCTGCTTCAGCTTTACATCACAAACAATACCGCTGTTTGAAGGAGCTCAAATATAATTTTCTAACAGGCATAAATGATTACCTTGGGTCCAATTGATCCTTTTAAGCCAGGTGCACCAGGTAATCCCATTTCACCCTGCAGGGAAGTGAAAAAAATTGTCTTGGTAGCTCTTCAGATGCAAAATTAACACTTTGATGGACACTGAATGTAGTCCAAGAGCATTTAACTTACAGGTGGGCCAGTGGATCCTTTAAAGCCCCTTGGTCCAGCCTCACCAGATTCACCCTTGACAAAAAAAATTAATCTCAGTCAAATATAATCTTAATAAATGATACTAAACCATTGCTAAGTTTATTCTGCACGTAAATACTCTAAGAACTTCTAACCTTTTGTCCATGCAGGCCTGCAATCCCTGGCAATCCAGGCATACCCTGAGAGGAATGAAACACATTATATGTATGACAGATTATTATACCGCATATCCTAAAAAAATAAACTGTGACATGGAATTGTTTGTGTAACATTATCTACTGCTTGACATTTACATTGTGGAAACAGAAATAACATTTTTAATAAAGACATGTTTTCATAAGCTGTTTGGCAGATTCACAGTCTAAAGAAGGAAATTTCATGTCCTTGAGCAGCGCACACGTTTTATTTGCCAATAAATGCAATCACACAGAAAGAAGCTGCGATTTAAATTGCATTGAGAGAAAGAACGAAAGCAGACACAAACTGAAGTAAACGCTTTAATGCACTGAAAGTTTATTAAGTTCAGCTTGCAGCAAAGCTATCCTGAAAGGCCTCTTTAGTTTTTTCGTTTTAGTTATTTTTTTTCTGAGATAAATGTTTGCAGATGCTCGGTGGTTGCCTCACATTGAAGTTTGAGTAACATATGTGCATGGTGAATAGATTGGACAGGACGGCACGGAGACAGAGGCATGGAAGGAGCCACAAATACGCTCACAACTTACACCTACAGGGGAGAAATGTCCACGTCGGGACCTACACCGGAGCACCGTGTCTTGTTTTAACTTGAGGAAGCACAGCACTAATCCTGTCTCCCTGGATACATTGCTTGTTCTATTGTTCTGCTGGGGAAAAATGGCTTACAGCCTTGTGGAGCAAGTGACTCATGGTTTGTAGACCCATTGCAAACTTTTTGGACTACACTAATCACGATCAGCGGGGTGGCTGCTCAGTTGAAAGACTTTCTTCCTAAAACAGACTTGCCAGAGGACAACAGCATTCCCTCGATGAGTTACTTTCACTGCCTTCCATTAAAGCTTGAGCCTGCTTGTTACATAACAGGGTTATCCTGGGATGAACTACAGGGGAAATACCCCCTGATTTACTGGCTGTCAGGAGGAGTCTCTGTGCTGCTGACAGTATGTTAACACACTGCAGACTTAGAACAACAGAAAAACATGCAAATCTGTGTGATTCATGAAGTCTATTGTTATAGTAGCCTCTTTTACTCTTCGGTTCCTGGAATATTCTTTCATGTTTGTAAAGCAACATATTGCGAAGAACATTGTAAAGTACCACACAGATAAAATTCCCCCTTTTCTGGTTGGAAATGCTTTGCTAAAGAGGCGAAATCAAGATCACAATATGGCAGTGTCTTTATTGTTTTATCCATGCGCAGTTTGCATCCCGTTTTGCATCTGATCCTCAGTGTCACAGAGTTGAAATAAAACTGCGCGACAGTTCAACAGCATGTACAGTCAATACTGCGTGTGACTCACAGGATGGCCTTCCCTTCCGTCAGCACCAGGGATACCACTGGCTCCAGCTTCTCCCTTAATATGTTGCAGAAGCATGAGCATAATTAATACATTCAATTTTGATCTAGCACCTACACCCCAGCCGGCATCACACATTCCACACGTCATCTTGGATTTATTAAACAGAAATCAATCTAAAAAATTGGAGGAAATTCTTGATGTTTACAAAAGTTGTCAAGCGTGGGTTTGGAAAAAGACAAGAGGGACACCAGTGTGTGTTTGATTCAATTTCCATGGTGGCCAAACATCAACAGCACAACATTTTGGAAACCAAAGTCACTCATCCAATTGTATGCCTCGAGTATTCCCCTAATCCCAGAATGAGCTTTAAAAAAACGAGCAGACCTTTTCACCCGATCTCCCTGGAAATCCATCCTTTCCATCTCTCCCAGGAAGACCCTGCGATCATTGAAAGTGATCTTAGATTCAAATATAAATGCACATGATCTCTGGATAGATTCTAAATTGTTTTATACGTACAGGTTCTCCCGGAAAACCCGGTGGCCCAGGAGGTCCTATGCTTCCCTTTTCTCCCTGGAAATAGCACAACATTATGTTAAAGCCTGTATGTGTCTTGTGTCATGTTCGGCTGCTTTTTAGCCATTAGGCTTGTCTACATACTCACCACTTGACCAGCCTTCCCCGATAACCCTGCTATTCCTGGGGATCCTACTGAGCCCTGAAAAAATGAAAAAGGTTTGAAATGATTATTGGATGTGACATTGAAAAATAGTCCCTACCTTTCATGCTCTAAACTAGCCTGCTTTATTTCAACCTTCAGACAGCTATGAATCAAAAATCCATTTGACAGCATCACCCATGTTTGTAACATACAATGAGGCAAAACAAACAGGTCTTTGTCAGTCTGGTTAGGAGGCACATAAACGACACAGATCTCTTCAAAGAGCCGCTGTAATTTCTGCATGGTCACAAAAAAGCAGATAGTGTTTGACATTAGTCAGCAGTGGCCTTGTTTTTCTGGAATAAACAGTGAACAGACTAGACATTAGCTATGTGTCTGCAAGGATGTTGCCAAACATTTGGGGAACAACGCGTCACATTTTCAGAATAAAAACAGCATGATTTTGGAACAAAGCAGGAAATAACATTTTTCGTTTTCCCAGATTTTTTCATTCCTGCATTTTAAAATATGCTAATCACCTCAAGAGAACAAATTATTTTACAGCGTAAAACCAAATGACACATTTGTCTTTGGCTAACATTGGGGACTTTAGTGGATGACAACATTTGTATTGTTTCCACAATTGTAGACAGTTTCAGTTTGAGCTGAATTTTGTGTTCAGTTAACTAACAGGTCCCAGTTGTCTCCCTTGCTGTGGCTGCCCCTGTAGTTCTAACTCCAGTCCAAAACAAATGGCACATGGATTTAGAGGCCACTGACTGGCAACTCTGCAGCCAGGACAGTAAAGACACAATCAGAGGCCAACTGGTAGCATTTATGCTTTATTTGTCTTCCTGCTGCGTGTGTTTTGTTGAATTGTGCACTGTTTTGTTGAACTGTGTTGCTGGTGTACCAGCTTGTTTGACAGCATGGAACATAAAACAGGGACAGCTGCTAACACACTGCAGGCAGTGGAGGCAATGACTGGTGTGACAGCAGAACTTAGATGTGCAGAAAAAAAGCCTAGATTCAGTGAGTAGCGATGAGGAGCTTTCACTAGCAGGTGTTCTCACTTTCTAAGCTGGTCTGTTGGTTTCACTGATTTCTGTCAAAATGAACGGCACCATTGTTGTCACAGTGTTAATTAACTATGGAGATCAATTAATAAATTGTTCATTCAAAGATGACAAATGACTGCAGTAATGAGCACGTTTCACGGACTGTAAATACATAAACATATCCTGCAATTATGTTCTTCCTACTTAGTTTGGCTGAAACTTCATGTTTCCATTCTCTACATCCTATGCCAGGAAAATGAGATTACACCCTTGGGTGGTCTTACAATATCAGAGCAATCTATCAAGGTAAATGTGTTTGTGTCCAAAGAAAATCTTATGCGCTGCACGAGTATTCCTTTTAACTTTAAAAGAACATTAAGTAGTTCCCAGCTGGCCTTCTGATATTGTTCTTTGTTGCATGAAGTGCAAACACCTCTTGATCTCATGAGGAAAAATCAGCTTCTTAATTCACAACGCATGTGTTCTCATGTGGCGCCCATCGAGAAAAATGGAATGTTAAATGCCAAATAGCCATAATTCAAATTATGCAGAAACTATAGGCATCTGAGCCCTTTACTATTTCATATAAAGGGAGTTGGTTTACATATTTAAGTCATGGTATTGACGTGGCTCAGTCGGTGACATAAATTCGCCACCTTGGTCCAGACTAAAATATCGCAGTAATAATTGGAGGGATTGAAGATCTGTATGGATAGGCGTCAGAGGTAAATTAAAAGGAATTTGGTGATCCCTGTGTATCTCAACAACACCTGCAAGCCACCTACTCAAAAAAACAAAACTTGCTTTCAGTCATTTGTTTAAAACACAAGTACGTGCACATTTACATGATATCCAGCTCTATCACGGTTTGAATGCACTTACTGAGAGTCGCTTCAGACAAACACGTCCTCTCAAATTATTGTAGCGTAATGCATGTAGATCTTTAATTATGAGATTTTAAAAGAGCCCTTTGAGAGACCAGTAAATGTCATGATCGTTTTCTGCATAAGTGAATAAAACTGATAAATTCACTGAATATTTAATAGTGTAGTCTCGGTTTTGTCTTGTTGTATTGACCTAATCTACAAAAGTGGAGAAGACCAAGTCCAACTACTAATAAAAACTTAATGGGATACATCCTGGAACAGTAAGTGAGACTCATAAGAGCAGCACAGATGGTATAGGCTGATTGGCTCCAAGTGTAGAAATGTGTCTGCAGCCAGCTGAGACAGTTTTTAAAATGACATTAACTGCTTGAATTGTTCCTCACTTCAGCCAGCTGGCAGAGGCACCCTGTGGTCAATCTGATTACAAGGTAGGATGAGATGCAATCTAGAGAGGATGCATTACCTCACTGTACTTTCAAATAACTAAACACAAAATGTTGTTCAGATGAACATCAGAGTGATGTTCAGTGTCTGCTGCAGATGAATTTCCAGTGCTGAATAAGCACAAACTGCTGGATCACTCAGGCTCTGCTTGTTTACTGTGTTCTTCCAGGAAAACAGTCAGATTCCTTGAAGACTCACAGACTTCTTTACATTGTACGACTTATATTATCACAATGTTTCAATTTAATTTGAAACAGTTGTGGTAGCTGACACTTTTCATTTTACAGATGCGTTGCCTTTGTGGCTAATATGCATTTCTCTTTCTGTAGTAATTTAGGTTTTCTACTCGTCTGATTGAACAGTGGATGAGGCAGTTTCTCAGTCAATGCACCACTTACACTGGGCACATCTGTATTATTGGTTTCTAAACATCTTGATACTTTAGTTATATTCATGTTGGCCAGGCCTCTTCTAAAAATTATATTCATCCACAACTAAGCTGCATTCTCAGTTACATTATGAGTGTTGTGTCAGTTTCAAAGCAACATCTCTTTGCCATTTCTTTTGACTGCTGGTCGCTTCATTTCAGTCAACCAATCAGATATTAGATAAGGGAAGAGCAAGTCACTCTGGAAACCCTAAAAATTAAAGATAAGCTAGAAATATGTTGTGAAAGGGTATATTATAACCCAAACTATGCTGTTTTCCACGGCCTAGTTGAGTGGTTTTGGTGCCTAATCTTCATCATGATTTTAAGATAGAATTAACATTGTGAAAATGTCAGTTTTTTCCAAAAACAGATTATTTTCCTAAACCTAACCAAACAGAAACTGAAAAAACAAAACTTGAGCACAGGAAAAATTGTCCCGCAAAGGATGCAGAGCCCAGCCTCCTGGTTGCAAATTCTGTTTATGCCTCCACCTCCGAATGTGGCTCTTTCAAACTGAAAATGTTTTGGGAATGTAATTTAGTTGTATACGAACATATTTTTTGTAAGACAGGGTTGGTGAGGCATATAGTTCTCTATGTGGGGGTGTGATTTGTTTTGCTAGACTGTTGGGTTTTCTGATCTCGGAGTACAGATGTCACTGAATATAAATCACACGTTTCCTTGACTTGATTTACATGACACTAACATCGACTGTCATCTCCTCCAATCTCATTACTGCTTCTCAGCCTCAGATATCACTATAACTGGGCGACTGAGGCACAAGGAGGCGATGTAAGTGAAGGAAAACAAGGTACCAAGAGAGGAAAGATCTACCTCTGGTTTCCTAAAAATAGCAAAGAAAGTCTTTTAGCTTTCTAAGGAAAGGGCAGCACTGAAGTCAGGACATATGAACACGTTTAAAAGGCCTCTGATGACCCTCATGCTCTTTTGGCAAAGCACACTTGTTCCACAGTATAGAAGCTGTATTTTTTACTCTCCCCAGAGATCTGGCTTCATACTCAAAACATATGGTTTGTGTGATTGATGCAAAGATGTTCAAATGGTTCATGTTGATGTGTCTAGCAGGGATTTCCTGTCAATCCCACGTTTGATCTCGTAAAAGAGAGCTTTAACTTGACAACTCAATGTGTTTTTGTACTTTTTAACTATTGCTTGTTTGTTTTCTACAGAAAATTATTTCTTTTACAGCTTTGATGGTTTTGAAATTTTACTCATTTTTTTGTGGTCAGTGGACAGTACTAAATAACATTTAGATTCCATATTACTGAGCAGACATGCAGTCACTACGGTTAAATAATTAAGATCAGCACCTTCTCTCCTGGTTGTCCAGGTGACCCAGGTAATCCAGGCATACCCCTCTCACCCTGAAAGGACAGACTTGTATTAAAGATCTTTCAGTGGACACAAAGTCTAGGTACATGGCTATGGAATCAATTGTGCCATAAATGTGGTTTTCCACCCTCCTACCGAAACACCAGGCCTCCCTTGCTCCCCTTTGTATCCATCTGGTCCACGTGGCCCCTGGCAGAAAAAACACAAAAACCAGCTTTAAATTTTCTAACTTGGATGTTTATCCCTGAAGGTACACCAGTTGGCTATTGCTATACCTCTATTCCTGGAGGACCTGGCAGGCCTGGACTTCCCCTAATGCCAGGGATACCCTTCAAATTGTGAAAAAGACAGGAGACACATTTGGTTAAGCATTTGAATCCTCTCCACTGTGTTCCCTCGGTGACTTGAGGCTGTGGGTGGATTCCTTCTTACAATTTTTTGATCATGCTGTCGAACATGTGGTTCACTTTTGGATGGTTTTCATCACACAAAATCACCACCATGCTGCCAATACTGCTATAATCAGAGATGTTTTCTATTTACCCATCGGAAAAATAAGTAAATAAGCATATTTACCACTGTGTTTTAAGATTCTGAAGCAGTCCCGACCACATAGAATGAACACGCTGAAACTATCATGACATAATGGATACATTAACTCAAATGGATTTCTCAGATGCTGTTGTGGATGCCGCTGTTAGCGATTATGTACTGTATGTTTGTATATTGAACTATGTAGTACTCACAGGCTTACCATCAGCACCAGCAGGTCCAGGCTGACCAGGTATACCAGTGCTTCCTTGTTCTCCCTACAGAAAGGAAAATGAGGTAATTCATCCATTTGTGGCTTCAACAAGTTGTTTCTACCTTGTAATGTCAAAACAGCATAAATGAACCAATATAAACCATCTCTGGTAACAATGTGCTTCTTCACAGTGTTGATTTATTTATCTATAAACCACAGGGAGTGAGCCAATTCAACCAATGTAAGATACACTATGTGGGGTCATGAGGAACATCTGCAAGCCAGCAATGCTCCCAGCATTTTGGATCTATTAGTAAATGTAGTAAAAGCATACTGGTGACCTTATAAACACAAACATTCTTGAAACCATGTAGGTTTCATTAACAAGGATGTTTTTTTTTCTTTTCTTTGGCCGAGCTAATATCTCTCTGACGTCCTTCTGTAAAGGCTTTTATGACGAGGACTGCTATTACTCAGTTGATACCCTGTGATCAATGAAGACAAACATGTAGGTTTTATTCCTTAGTTTGGTCATTTTCCATTCCAACCAGTGTTTAGTTTCCGTAGTGGTCTGGTTTGCTTTAAGGAAACAGTACTTACAAGGATCTTACAAGACTAACCATAACTTATACACAATGGCAAACCTCAATTTGCCTTGCTGGAGAAATGAGCCAACTTGGCGCGTCTATAATTTATGATACCGCAAGTTTTCAGCAGGTAACTGAGATGAAAGTGTGGAAACTTCCCACCTTTCTGGCACAAAGGAAATCTGTGTTTACAGACTATAATGACAATAGTTGGATATGACCTATTGGTAAAGTGCAACCTCGTGTGACCATCGTATAATGATCTGCAGCACAGACAGTGCCTGGTAATCCAGCACACATTTTACTAAGGTTGAGAAAAAGGAAGTTTGAGCTCCGTCTCTCAACAGAAGCACTTCAGTCTCTTTGTCATTCATGAGTTTACGCATAAACTAGCACTGGTCGCATTTGTCATTTTAAATCCCATCAGACCATCACTGATTAAAGTAAATATTTAACCTTGCTGTCTGGACACTGTCTGGACAAGGAAGGACTACGTGCTGAAGCAGGAAGAAACTCAACTGTGTAATATAAAGGATGTGAAAAAATGTTTGGTGGTGTGGTGTTCAGTGTGGTAATTTTCATTAATTATATATATTAAACAAAAACATGACAAAAGACAAAGAAAGAGAAGCAAAAGGAAGCTTACCTTCAGTCCTGGAAGTCCAGGGGGTCCAGGAGGACAAACACAAGGCTCTAGAGTCGGCTCAGGGTAATCAGGACTGTTGGAACACTGTAATGAACAAACATATCTATCAACATTATGTTCACATATATAGCTCTGATGTAGCCATTCATCTGTTTTCTCTCTTTCTCACGCTGTTCTTTATAGGGCGTCAACTAATATTATTTTATTCTGTTTCAATTATATTCACAATTAATCTCCATCACAAGTTGCGAAAAGATGTTACTGTCTCAGAATGTCATGTTTAAATCAAACACTTGCAGTTTAAAAGCAATCAAAACAGAGAAAGTAGCAAATTCTCACACCCTAAATGTGTTTTTTCTTATTATAAATGCCTTATCAGATTAAGTTTCTAATCATTTTTAAACTGGCTTATGGTTCAAGTCTCATCCTTTGGGATGTTCACTGCTCTTATGATTCTAAATGTCAAAAAATAAACTCCTCAAACATAAATATCTCTTCTTATGTTTAAAAATAAAATCTAATTGCTGACATCATGCAAAAACAGTCTCACTGTGTTAAAAACGAAGCTGTATTTGAATATGATTCAACAATATACACTGTATATGTACATTGGATAACTTTTTGTTTTTAAATCAAATGATGTGAGACTTTTGCCGGAAAGGCGTCTGATCCTCTATTTCCACAAAAGGAAATTAATACAGTAACTGACCTCGGAGATTCCAAATAAACTATTAAAAAGCAGACAGCGAGAGATGAGAAAAGCACTGATACTTGGCAAGAGTTTGTAATTTCAGACTTCTCGTCTTGTCTCTTTTGATATTTTAATCCAACAGTTTCACATTAAAAACAGTGATTTGGCACTGGCCTTGTGGTTATGGCGATTTCCAAGCCAACATAACAATGTGCCACTGCTTCACAAACACACTTAGGAGCCAGGAGGCAATAAAAAATATATACTGCAACATGTTTGAAGCCGAGCCACGAGTCCTCCTGCAGCAAATTATTTTATGCATAAACAGATGGAACTGGAAATTAATTTGCTGAGTTTACACCTTCACTTCTAAACACAGCAGCACACTGTACTGATGAAATAACAAGAAGCAAGAAGACATGTCACGCTATGAAAGATTTGGAGTTAACTGTTGATGGAATGACTGGCTCCACCGTCGTGTGTGACATTTCAGAGCAGAAGCAGATGTAGTTGGACAAGGTGAGAAGTAGGTGAAAAGCTATCTTTTGGACAGAACAACAAGCGCAGAGCCAAGTAGAGTCGAGTACTTACAACTCCAGGTATTTCACACGCAGTCTCCCGGTTGTTCTGCTCAGGGTCACAGTAAATGCGAAGTTTCTGAATTTCAAACTGGAAAAAAGAAGAAATTCTTGTTAAAAAAAACAATTGTGACACAAACAAATAGTAATACGGGGGTAATTTTGCTACATTTAGTTTAGTTTTATCAGTGCTTTGCCACTAATGAATTGAAACTACTATTGCATAACTGCTGAAGAAAAGATAACTGCCCTCACTGGGCACTGAGCAGCCGCATGTTGCCAGACCTCCCTCAGTGTTTGGAAGAGCTCTGCAGCGACGTTACTCTATTCTTCCATTATTTGATATTTTGTTGATGCTGGTAGTGAAATGGCTCCATAGACTGTTTGATTTCAGTTACCATGTGAGCAGAAAGATGATCCTGACGTGCAATTTACATTACTGAAAACATCAGTAGGACTACGTGAATGAGGACATAGATCAATCTAAAGCAGCATAACTGCGTAAATGACGACACTGGACGGTTGGGTTTCGAGCTAAATACAGATTTCGACATGATAAGAATGTCTGATGGCTATTTTTACTCGTAATGTTATTTAAAATTGCATGGCCCAATCGTGGCGTGCGCTAAGTGTCTCAATTACAAAAATCTGTTTCCAGTTATGAGTGTGTTTATCCAGAACTGATTCTTACATAAGTACATTGACTTTGCTAAATGACTTAAAACTTCACGGTCCTTATGACAATGGATCAGTACACACAATAACATTCTCTGCCAAGCTGCGGTTCATGTGACTATATTCGCAACTATAATGATGTGTCAACATGCTGGCTGGTATACGAGATGTTAAAGTCATGAATAAATCACGTTGTTCTTTTCAAACGGGTTTCTGCACTGAGCATCTCCAAAAACCTCTCACATGACAGCACATACTGTTATTTTTCTTTAGGAAAAAAATTTAAAATTGTATAAAAATGTCTGCATTATTCAATTTTGATTTTATTTCATATATATTTTATTTCATTGACCATCATTATGGCCACAACTGCAACATGCCAAAGCTGCCCCTAATTGCTCACATATGGGTCTGAGGTATTTTAAAAGGCCAGTTTTTGCTATTGTTTCATGAAAGTGCCACATTATATTAACACAAAACAAAATAAAAGTGAATACAGTGCAAAAAAAAAGCAGGTATTCTTCTTTTGCTTATAATTATCCTTGTGTTAAAATGTTACACTTTGTCATGCATGTCTTTGGCGTTGAAGAACGTGCGTACTATATAGCCTTCTGTAGAGCAAGTTACAACACAGCACAATTATGATTTATTACAAATACAGCATTTCTGGTGCAAATTGTGCCAACTGAGACAAATAAAACAACGAATAATAAGACCTTGTGGACAAAAAGCTCGTTTTTGCCAAGGATTTATTATCCACAGAGTTAAACATGTCTCTGAGGAGGCACCAATAAACTGTGTGGTACTGTGTGATGCAGTTAAAAACATGTATCACTACTCAGTTTGCTAAGCTACTCATTAAACAAATATCCCCTTCTTTCTATAGCGAAGCTGACACACTGCGGGATTATTTCTCTGGGAATGAATCAACATGTGTTTTATGAAAATTGGGTTGTTGATGCTGATAGACTTACTGGCACTGTTGTTTCCTTTCTCACGTATTTGCCAACTTGGGTTTTTCCATTGATGAAAATGCCAACAGGGGGCTCCAACGATAATGTTTCAATTTCCAGGTCATCAACGTAAAGGGTAACATCCTCTTCGGTGACCAGCAGCCGCAGCTGGTGCCATTTCTCATCAAACAACTGCTTTTGTGGCAAAACAAAAGAATGGAAAAATGTCATTAATATATTGGTGCATCCTGGTGTTCCGATAAAGGCATTAAAAAAAAAACTGTGTAAACATTGTATTTGTCATTCAGAGCAGGAAACAGGAGTAACTCATTAAGCGACAGTTTGATGTGATGTGTATTGTCATCACAATATAGATTTGATTATCTAAGAATTGTTGGGAAATGGGAATAAATAACAGCTGCCACACAATCTCTGTTAATTTTATGCATGCTCCCTTTGTTTCTGAAGATTTCTGCTGTATTCTGCAGTAAACAGTTGCCTTATTGAGGCTCGATGTGACGCAATAATGAGATTTAAGATCATTACGGTCACCGGGTTCATGTTTTGTTTCCCAGGGATGGAACATTTTATGTAAACTGAAACTTGTGAATACGCTACATGGGAGATATTCTCATATGCAAACAAATTTGACGGTTGATGGTATAAAAAAAATGTGGTGAATGATGACAAAAAGAATAAAAAAAACAGATGACTCACAAGAGACAGATTAAAAAGAAATTTTCTCAGTCAAAGCTGCAGAAATAGACTTTTGGTCTCTAGGATGGGCCAAGCTCCAAAGATGTTGAATTCTACATTTCCCATATTGCAGTTGTGTCACGTGTTTGTATGACTGTGTCTGCCTTGTGCACTTGTCATTTTTGAGACTCTAATACATATGAAACAACGTTGCTCCCTTTTAACACATTTCTCAAGAAACAGTACTCAGTGGGAACTTACCCGTGCTGTCTGTTGTGAAAATGTCACCGTCTGAATTCCACTGGGGGAATCGCTGGTCGTGGTGAACCTGACATTGCGCTCCAGACCATTTAGAGTCACCGCCATCTGAGGTTTCCCATCACGTGTCTGTACCCTCCACAGGTCCCACTCCTCTATAGCCACTGATCCTTTGTACCTCAGTGTGGCCACGAAAACATACGATGGAGGCAGACCATCAGGAAAAAGGGTCCTGAGTGAACAAAAAAAAGAAGCCGTCAGCTTGTGAATACATGGCCAAAGATGAAGACAAATTTAACGTATCAGTGGTTACCTTGTAGTTTCACTTAAGTCAACGCGAGACGTCACTTCGTAGGCCCTGGATCCATAAAATGCTCCTTGTGTTTTCTTGGCTTTTTTGGCCAGATTTAGATGCAACAGAATATCAAAGCCCTTCTCATCACGGGAATCTACTGAGATTCTGGCTGGACAAACAGTCTCTGCAACAAACAAACACAGTCAAATTGAAAAACAGTCTCATACAGGAAGAAACTGAGCAACAGAACAATAGAAAGAAAGGGCAAGAGGCAAAATAGTGGTCCGGGATTCAGAGATACAGCTAATGCTGCCACAAATGTAAGATCTGACCTCATTTGACCTCACAATATCAAAGAAATCAACCCCTTCTAGCTCTAGACATTGACTGGAAGTGCTTACCTTCACACAGTTTTTGTCGTATGACCTGTATAATCCTGGAAATAGCTTTGTAGTCCTCGACAGAGAAGACATAAGTTGAAAAGGGCTTATTTGCAATGTCCTTTAACTCAGCTGCCTCTGTCTCCGACCCAACACCAATTGCAAACAGAATTACTCCTTTTTTCCTTGCTGCCTCAGCTGCTTTCACAACCTCATCTTGAGACTTCCCGTCTGTGAGGACAACAGCAATTCTGGAAATGCCTGATGGGCCACGCTCAGAGAGGCCAAACAGTTTGTCTGTGGCAAACTTGATGGCTGCCCCTGTCCTTGTGTTTCCCCCCATGTACTCAATGGACTCCATCGCTTTGATGAGGTCTTTGTTGGAGGAGTACTTCCCCAGAGGTATTTCTAAAACAGGGTCATCGCTGTATTGGACAACTCCAACCTGGGTGAACTTCTGTCCAATGTTGAAGCTTGTTGTTATATTGACAAGCCATCGCTTTACTATTTCAAAATTGACATCTTCAACACTCCACGAGCCGTCTAGAATGAAGACCAAATCACAAGGCGCAGTCCTGCAACCTAAAGCAGATAGGAAATAGACAATTAGCAGCGTGAAACAATAGTTTTAATAGATCATATCCAGTTTAGTGGAGGACATTAAATAACATCCATTTAAAGAGAGCATAAAATCTGAATTTCCAGTTGAGTGCTTTTAAGATTTTTCAATGTATAGACAACAAGCATAACTGTAAAAAAAAAAAAAATGAAGACAGATGCACACTTACTTCTTATTTCATCATCTTGAGCTGCACTTAACAAATGAAGAAGCATGAAGCAAAGACTTCTTAGGACACAATGCATGGATGCCACTTTGTAGGCCATTATGCAGCAGTATTGAGTTCCAACTGTGTACCTACAGGGAAAGGAGGAAACCTGTTTTGTATTGCATGGAAAAAGAAACTGCAAGCATTTGTGACATAAAATTCTTGTGTTATTCTTGCCTTGACAGTCGTTAATGTCTCAGACTATTGCTTTCTCAGTGTTAGTAGATATTAGATTTATTCTGGCTCATCCCTTTTCTATAGGCTTTGAGGCCAAAACCACACAGAAATGATCATAAAAGCATTTGTGATACCTTGAGTTATATGACAAGGAAGTTGACTGTTACACCAGGCTCTGCAAAACAGTAACAAAATCAAACAATAAATGTTACAAGCATTGTGTTCACATGCAAATTACCAACACTGGTGCAATTGGTTCAGGTCAACAGTTTGCATCTTGGTTGATGCAATGAATCTTAATCCATATGAATCATAAAGTACACCTTTTGGGGGGTTTAAGAGCATAAATTATTCATATGTCTCATCGATTCAGCTGTGCATTTTGGGGAACCCTCTCCAGAATATTAATGAATACAGAGGAATGCTCAAGTTCAAGCTGTCTAGATGCATCTTTCTAAAAAATACTGTATGCACCTGTAAACACCAATTCAGTCATAAATAAGTGTCATTCGGTCAAGGCCCAAGTTAGGCGCAGGGCAGACAGGACAATATACAGTATTTATTGTTTGTACGGATTCTTTATATGAAAGGTAGACAGAAAAACTGAATTGTTTGATGTTTTTGCTGTTATGGGAACTGTTTTAGCGAGCAGGCAAAGTTAGCATTTATCCACAAAGTGATCATTTATCTTAAGCTTAAGTTTTGGTCTCTACCAGAGCACGTCAAAAAAGTTTAACTCGTAAGCTGACAAATAGGTTCACTAGTTAGTCACTACCTTTTTGCTGCCTGATGCTGGGCATGTAGCTCGGGGGTTTGGAAATGGTAGTTATTTTAGTTGTAAACAGCTACATGCTTCAACTAGAAACATGGTGGATGAGTGGTGACATTGACCCAAACGGTAAAGGTCATCCACAGTCTCTCACATAGGGTGAAATTGGTCCACAATGCAAAAATGTAAACCTTTAACAAAATAGATAGTAAAATTGTGAGATGCTTCTATTTTCTAGGTTACTCCTGTTTCCTAAAGCCAACCAAATAGTTGGCAAGCACAGACATCACGAGTGCACCTTTCCAGTCCATCAGCCGCACAGGGAGTGAACCATGTTATGATGTGTAATACACTGTCTTTCTCAAAGTATTACACCAGGAAAGAAATCCCTACAGGGTACCATTCTGTGTTGAGGACCAGTCAAGAGGCAGCACTGCTCACTTTGTACCCACCCACAATAGGACATGGTTGGGGCAGCACAGTGATGCAATGATTTGTGCTTTCACCTCACAGCAACAGGGTTCTGGGTTTGAACCTGCTGTTTGGTCATGAGTTTTCTTCGATTGCTCCATTTTCCTTCCAAAATCCAAAGACATGCATGGTAGGTTTATTGGTGATTCTAAATTGCTTGTAGGCGTGAGTGTTAACACGCGTGGTTGTTTGTCTCTTGGTGTTGGCCTTGCGATGGACTAACCACCTGTCTAGGGTGGAACTCACTTCTCACCTGATGTTACCCAAGACAGAGTCCAACCTCTCTTAAGCCCTCTACAGGGTAATATGGGTATAGCTAATAGATAGATGGACTCTCAATGGGGCTATCAAGTGCAAATCCCATCAGCCCTTGTTTGTTTATGTTCTCTTCCTGGCATAGACACTGTGTGACTCTCTCCCTAATTCACTTACTGGCACCACTGAAACTCTCACGCATCCATCCTCCATGTGGCGCACTCCATCTTTCCAGTTCCTGCTGCACAGCCTCGACTTCCCCAGTACACCTAAGCATTTTCCTTTCAAGCCTCATCTACCACATCCTCACATGGCACTGTCTGCTTTACTAAATAAACCATTCACTGAACCTCTGACCACAACTGCCCTAAAACCAGTGCTCACTATTTCCTGTGGGATTATCAGCTGTTTCCTCAAATCTGTTGCCATTTGCCAATCTCTGCCCACCCTTGGCCTAGATACAATACGCCTGCCCAGAAAAGCTTCCCTCCTACACTTTTCCTCCCGCATGGATAAAACCAATTGTAATACCTTCCTTCCCATCCGCACATGAAGTAATTTTAACCGGTGGCTGCTGCTAAAGCACTTACAGCAGTTATGTCACAGGTGTGCCATTTCTCGAGTAAGCTTAGTTTACGCTCCGGCAAAATGTTTCAAAATGTTGGCATGTCTGAACATATGGAAAACTGACATTTTGGGAAGATTTTAGCAAAACATTTTGTGCATATGATTGATCTCTTTTGGTTTGCTTCCATACTTTTCAACTCCCTCCAGCTCTTCTTCTTATGTTCCTTTTTCATCACTGTGCCAGTTCTGCTACGGCAGCCTTTCTTGTGCGGATATTTTGCCCTACAACCATCTTTTTATACCTCCGTCCATCATGGTTGTGCTGAGAGCAGCCCTAAGGTTTTTGACTCTACACCTGCACAGCAACATCCTTGCTGCATGGCTGGTTGTTGAACTGTGAGAGAACGATTGTAAAGTGCAACACACTGAGTTTGTCCTCTAACACCAGTTAGTGCAAAAAAAAACAAAACAAGAAACAAAGACCTATTATATATGCCATACATTATCTACTTTGTATGTTTATTTCAGTAACAAATGAGCACTAAAATTGTTGTGTGTGCCACAAACAACACAACAGTGGAGTGTATTGTTCATGCTCATGGAGTTAGAGCTGGAACTGGATGTTAAGAACCAGACAAATAATAAAGAGATCCATATTTACATTTGGCACAATGATCTAGAGAACTGTAAGTGAGCAGAAAGCAAGCATTTAATCACATGTTGTTTCTGTGGCTCTTCTATTAAATTATCTTTTCCAACACTTGAAAGAAAGAAACTGCTGACATCCTAAGTTGCAAATGAGGACCAGATATGCTGCATACAGTATAAAAACCAGGACTTGTGGAAGGAATTTGACAGGAAGGATCTGATGGTACAACTTAAAACAGCTTCTGATTGTGACACGTGAAGGTTAATGAAACAGAGGCCAGGATGTAACCCTCGGTCTCCCGAATGTTTTTATTCGTGTGCGGCCAACGCGGGGTCACACTCTTTAACATGACTGCATTTTTCCACCATGTAAACCCAGCGTGGAAGTAACACAGTTGAAGGAGGCGTTAAGCTGCCATAGTTGCGCGAGCCATTTTCTTCAGACTTTTTTCCCCCACTAGAGAACTGGAGGAGGCTGCTGGAAAACCCCCTCATTGGCAGCGTCCACCGGGATGACTCTCGCATCGACTGACTTTCCCCAAACTGAGTATTTCTGCACCTCTGCTCGAGCCACATGGAATTCATTTACACCGTCAGACGGTGAAATTCCGGCTGTGGACAGTGACCAAACACATGCTGTCATGATGAAGAGAGGCAACCTTCATCCAGGAATAAAAACGCAACATTACACGACACGTGCTGCGGCACAATGCTTGAAGTTGGGACGATTGCATAATGTAGCAGAAATAACAGGTGCACTTGTGTTGCAGGCTTATATCTGACTCCGGTGATCTGTTGTGGTGGCCGGATGGCAGAGTTTTAATGCAGAATATTAAACAAAACCCATTTTTAAAAAGAATGAAGATGTTCCGAGTATAACTAACACATGACATTCATTCAAAGTTGAGCCTGTTGTTTGGGGCAGTGCTCTAACTTAATAAGATTTATGCAACACTTTGTTTAGCTACAGCTGCAGATGCTGTTCAGGAAGCTGCTGAACAAATAATTTCTCACATTTCCCAAGGTAACATTTCACTTGTTGAGGGTGGGCGACACTGAGTCATTACAGAGTTTAATGACAGTATCAGACCTGAAGTTATGCTTCACTTGAAATTCACTTTGTTTTAAGATGAAACCATTTTTTTTTAAATTACTGAGCTCGAAATGGAAGCAATAAATACACCTTCTGTTTGTTTTGTGTCTGTAGTTTATGTAACGCAACTGCAGGCTTTAACTCGACTTGAACTCTTAAAGTTATAGTTATCTGCTGTAAATTTGGCAAAAGGAAGTTGTTCCCTTCCAGAAACAACAACTGCTGTTCAGCATGAGCTGCAGTTGCCAACATCAGGGGAATTTATTACTGCCAAATTCTTCAAGCAACAAGAAAAAGCCAAGCCCTATCAGTTGTTCTCCATAGAATTCTGTTAGATCCCAACAGTTAAATAATGTCTTGTAAAACATCCGCTTATGGGGGTCTTGTAGCGTCTTAGCCAGCATATCTACTTTCAGATAATTTCTTCTCTTATTATTCGTCTTGATATGCAATTCTAATGTCTGGAAAAGCTGCATGAATATAATACATGCAATGCTGTGGTGCACTATCCTCAAGAAATATGAAAGAAAAATCCTTTTACGAGAAGTGAAAAGGCCAGGAAAAATCTTGAGATGATTCCATTCATTCTTTTCATAATAGTAGCATAAACAAGGGACTGGTAACTTCGATAATGTCTTCAATATGCCACTGCTGCATATTTCAACTGCAGCACAGAGTCTAAGATATTAAAGTAAACACTGACATAAACTGTTACAGATCTGAACACTGTTACTGCATTATAACACACAGCACACTGAAAAATCCTTTAAACATACCAAAATCACCTTAACAAGTTCACTTAAATGATGAAAAATAGCCTTCTTAATATTCCACAATCAACAGTTACCTGTGGAATGCTTGAATGTAATATCTCTAAGATTATATGACAGTTGTAACTTTATGCATTAAACATACGAACAGTGCAGAACAACTTTTCTAATTGCAGAAATCCAACATGTTGCTTCATGAAAATGATACAAAGTAAGCCAAAAGTTACCGGTAAGCGTCCAAGCCCTTGTGTGAATTCCCATTAATCCTCTCATTGAGAGCCAGTGATCAATACTGTTCACAGCCCTGGGTTTACAGAAACTGGATTTGGGGAGAAGTGCACATGTTTCTCTGCTGAATGAAAGCCTGCCCTTTCTAGCAGCTCTCTCTGTCTCCTCTGTTTCTGTCCTTCTTCCTCTCCACCACCCCCCCTTACTCCGGACTTTTACTGGCCCACAGCCACCCTCAATTATCATGGGTGGAAAGAGAAGCAGATAAGGAGAGCATGAAGCAGACAGCCCATCTCTGACAGTCCAAAAGGAAAATAATAGTAATGAGCACAACCTCCTTCCAAGTGTTGAGGGTTTGGATCGTGAGTGAGTTGCTCAGGGCACAACTAGAAAACATGGAGTTTTCTGGATGAAGGACAAGCACGAGATCAGCATATAACTTTCAGTATACTCAGACACGTTCTGTACCATTTCGCGGTACATTCAGGAAGATCTAAAGCGCCCAGCAATGCAGTACACCGCCCCTGTGTGAATTTGTCGTTCCATTTCATCACTCAAAGGGACAGCAGATTATGTTCTACAAGTCAGCAATGAACAAGGTGTGAAAAGCTACTGTAGTGATTTTTTTTTTCTGCACAGACAGCTGGAAATTATTAGAAATGCAGAACTGGATCTGCTATCTGTAGAGCAGGCGGATTTCAGTTTGATCCACTCTAACAAGTTTTATCATGTTTGTACTCAGGGGCAGTCTGCTCTGCATCAGCTAGCGCCAGCCAGGCTTCTTAAAGGCTCCAGAAAAGCGTAACAGTGTAATGAATACTGCATTGTACAAAACAATTTGTGAAGTTTTCAATGAAAACAAAGAAATGAAGTAATAATTATGAGTAGGGCTGCAACCTACAATGCTAAATATAGAACAGTATGGCATTAGAGATATATGCTATAGGAGGAGACTTACATTTTTCAACTGTGAAGGTTTCAAACGGATGCATAAAAGACACTACATTTGACAAGTCATGGTGTTAGTGAAGAGTCAGATGAATGACTACAATTGACAGTACAGTAACTACAGAACTTCCTATTTATTGCACTCTGAGGAAATATACTTTAATCCTGATGTGAAGATAAATCAATGTGAAAACGTTAAAGTGAAAGTGAATGTAGTCATGTACTGTGCCAAAGTGTAATTCTGAGGTACTGAAGTGTTGCTGTGACTAAACAGTTGACCACATTTCAGGGAAACCTATTGCACTTTTAATACTCCACTATATGTTTTTTGATAGCTACAGTTACGAGTTACTTTACAGAAGAATTTACAAAACACATACACATGATCATCTTATACAATCATGTGCACTTAAATTATATACAGTGCTTCAAATGAGCTAAAACAGTAATTTATTACATGTTCATGCATCATCAGTCATAATGTCCTAACATATATATAATTACATAGCTGAAATAAGCATTCCTCCATAACAATTACTTATATTTTGATCTTTTATCATCAGTATAATTGTTTTTCTTGATGATGTTGTTAATGCTATTAGTTGTATAAAGATAAAAGATCTTTTAGAAAATCTGCATCTTCTCGTCGACATATAAATGCCATCTACCGGTAGCGCTAAACATGTCATCTTTCGCTGAGAGCAGCAGTGATTTCTCGATGACGGCCTTGTTGACCCTGAGTCTCAGCACACTCTGGTGGATCACACAGGCAAATATTGAGTTGGTGTTTGGAGCCGGGGAGTGGCCAACCTGCTGGTGAGACCAGACTTTCCAGTGCTGAGTAATTTTCTGTCTCTATAGCCTCTGGTCTCTGGTTTGTAATTAACTGGAGGTGCACATGTAGAAAACCATCTGTAAATCTCTAAGTTTATTGCTACAAGAAGCCGAGACATTGATCAGTATGATTATGTGGATCGGATGCAATTAAAATAAATTGCTGCCGTATGAGTAGCTAAACTTCTCTGTAATTGAGTGTCTGTTTGAAAACTTGCTAATCAGTCAAAACTGATCTGTTGTATTAATTTTTGGGAAAAGGTGAAATGTTTATTTTCCTAAATGAAAGGGTGGCAACTCCTTAAGCAAAACAAGACATAGAATATTATTCTGTGTATTCAAGCTCTAACAAGGCCATGTGCTCTATTTGATGGACACACAATATCATCTCAAGTGCAACTGGGGCTTGAAATAAATGTTCTCTCTCCGCTGCTCCCTGACTCCCCAACGTTAAAACTACACAACATACTCACCCATAAATTGAAGGACATGTTGTGTAGCAGCATTTAGATTGTTGTATTTTCTGTTTGGGTAATCAACATGTGACCCCTCAGGTTCTAAGAATATTTAGTTTGTGCACTCCACGTAGGCTTTTGGGTGAAGAGCGTATAAAACATGCAATCCTCTTGCATGTACAACATTAAAGTGTCCATCAAATGCGTGCACGTCAGTACAAACAATCTGACCCTGTTTAGAAATGAGATCTTAACAGATAAGGAATGTTGCCAGAAATCTTCGTAACTGATGACAACAAACTTCGTAACTTCTTTTGGCTTCGTCTTTGGGAAAAAAGACACATCAAAGATGCTGTAAAATCAGTTAAAAGCCTCTTTTCTACTTGGCGATTCATAACAGCGTGTTATTCCCATGGAATGGCCCCCACAGCCTCAGACAAAATGAATAAAGGCCTTCTTACAGCTTTTTGCATTGCCTTCTTTTCCATTCATAATCATCAGAGGAACTTTTTTTGCGCAACCCCATAATCTGTAACATTTATAACTGAGAAAAAAATCGAACGTCCTCTCCTTTCAGAGAAGGGATAAATCAATTCTGCTATTAAGCTTCAGGAATCGCATGATTAAAACAAATATGAATTTGGTTTGAGCAAATGAGAAAATCGCATACCAATGAAACCAGAAAAAGTTTCTGTCAGCTGTCCACCCGGCATCATCTCACTCTGCCAACATGATCAGAAATGTGCTAAAAAGTTGAGTCTGTGTAATTAATGGAATCTAGAGTTGGACTTAACAGCAGCAGCACTTTGCTCACTTTCACTTGTACGAAACACAATTAGGCTTATTACTTATATCAGCTAATGTTCAGTCATTCTGGCAGTTGCTCTGAAACTTTGAAATAACTGCCTGAGGACAGCATAAAACTTCTCTGTAATAACCTTTGAGTCGGTGCCATCACTTTGAAGCTCAACTGTACTGGGCCGTTTTAATCAGGTCACATGCATTAAGTCGTGTTTATCATGATCAGTTGTCTGGTTTGCCACAGAGATAAATAGTGAGCATGTCTGTAGCAAGTGGCTGAGCCCAGAAAGAAAATTCAGAGGATAATCGTGGATTAGTAATAGTTTCCATGACAGAGATGGCCATAGCATCCTTTGATGGAACAAAACAGAGCAGCATGGCACACATGATGCAGCAGTCACCGAGAGGGTGGAGGATGACGATCTGCAGTCGCAGGGGCTTCTCGGAGGAAACAAATGCGAGCCAGGAAAGCCACATGCCGAGCTCCCTGTGTGTTTCTTCTTTTCAGAAGTGTTTCTCCGTCAAATTTGAGCAGTGGAAAACAATCACTATTTTTCTAAACTCATTAAGTCCTTTCTGGGCTGCAGGATTGCTGGAGTCTTTCCCAGCGTACACTGAACACAAAAGCAGGGAAATGCTCTGGAAAGGTGTCGGCCTGTTGTAAAGCTAACGCAAACAAACACGGCCCCTTAACAGCCTCGAGCAATTTTTGAGTCACGTTTCCACTTGACCAGCAGGTTTTTCATCTGGAAAGTCCATACTGGCCAGGAATCAAACCGGATCTGTACCGCTGTGAAGCAACAACACTGCAACAGTATGTACAGTCAGCGTGAGGGAAACACTGCTGCTTGTGTCATTGTTTGTACTCATCGCTACAACAAGAAAAGACCAAAAGGTAAGCACAGGTTGTTGCTCATCACCGTTTCCTTTGCCAGCTAAACTCATGTGTAGCCAATATAGTCTTAAAGGCGGAGTGTGGTGTTCATACACAGCCCCAGCTCTGTAAATATGAAACAAAGTGGCTCGGACCAATCCGCACAACACTTGTGCACGTTTCTGATTGTGCACAGGACAGCGGGAAGGAAATAAAGGAGGAAAACAGGTCAGCAAAAATTAGACGGATGTTAAATCTGGCACATGCTAACTATCTGAATATGCAATCTAACTAAATATCAACAATCTTTCTCCAGAGCACCGGACTCCCACTCCAATTGAAATCTTCAAGTACTTATTTTACACAGAGTTTCCAAACATTTTGCCTGGGGAAATCAAAAGGTTTAACCGTAGCCCACCACTGTACCTTTGGAGATCAGGGACTGACAGTGAATGTTTGAAGGAGTGTATCCGTGCAACAAAACAGCTTGAAAGAAGTTTAAAACATTCAGGCATTGAAATAACTCAGTATTGTGTTCTAGAATGGTCAGTTAAAAGTCGCTCACCAAAACCTTTTTTTTTTTAACTTTCCACATAAGCGCCATTTGACCAAGCCAGCTATAAATACACCAAACAGCCACAACATGACAGGTGACGTGAATGATCATCTTGTTACAATGCAGTGTTGTAGTGGGAAACCTTGGGTCCCAGAATTTGTGTGGACATGACTTTATCAAGGAAGCACCCAAATAAACATTGTTGAAGACCAAGCACACCATCCATTACCACTACCCAACACCATGAATCTCCCCCCGGCAGGAAGTTGTTATCCCACCATGGTGCAAGAACTGCTGAGCAACGGCTCAAGGAACACGACAAAGAGCACAAGGCACTGAGCCCACCTCCAAGCTCCCCAGATCCCAATCCAATTGAGCATCTGCAGGATGCATCGAAACAAGATATTCGATCCACTGAGCCCCCACCCCCGCAACCCCTGTAGATCAGAGCTGCCTTGGCTGCACGATGGAGACTTACACAATACTTGGCAGGTTGTAATGTTGTGGCTGATCAGTGCACTGTTGCCTCGCTGCACACATGAATACCACAGAAAAATTTACTGACATGAATCTTCGAGACTTTTTCAATTTTCAGAGCACTGAACAGATTCAATTCTGATAATACTGGAAAAAAAGAGTCATTTTAGGGTCTTTCCGCCACAGAGGAACATTTATACAATGTTTTATGGCCATTCCAGCGCTAATGAATGGAATGATGTGGAAGCTGGTCTCTACGCTAAAATCACCTCATCGTCCAGTGCTGTTACTGGGGGTTTACAGAGAACAGGAATACATTTCTATTCAGTTGGGATGCGCCCAAGTATCCACATTGAAGGGCTTTAACACTAATGTTAGCTTTTAAACACAATATCTATACCATGTAACAGCCAAGTTATGATACATTTTCTCAATAAACTGGAAAATATATACAGAATATATAATAAAAGACACATTCTTACTCTTCTACTTTTCCAATTTTCCCTTCACTCAAATCTCATATATTATATTGAGTATTATATAAATGACATTTTTGGTCTACAGACATTACTTCCTTGTTGCACTGGTAACCACATGCTCTCTTAAAAAGCAACAATCAATTTTTGGAATTTTTATTATAAAGAACAGATGTTTAAAGACAACTTAGACCTGTGAAATCAGTTTAAATAAAACTATCAATTGAAGATGGTCTTTTTATACAAATATATTTTTTTTACCACTCTCCTCCAAGATGTTTTTTTTTTAGGTAACTTTTGTTCCAAGAAGTTCAGTTCAGGTTTCATTTGCATATTTACATGAAAATGTCAATATATTTGAACAAACGCATATTAACAAAAACAATTCCTTTACTCCTTTAAACTCAATATTCAATTCACCGTCCACACAGCTCTTTTTTTTAATCCTCTATGGGCGATTCCTCAACCTCCGCGGTGCCGGCTGAGGTGTCGCACCGGTTGAGTTCAGCTGAGCACACCCGGAGGTGACGCAGACACCTGGAGGTCCTCTTAGACCCGGGTGGCCCCTGAGTCCAGGCCGGCCTACATGTCCCCTCTGGCCCTGCTTCCCAGGCTGACCGTTAAAGGCTCTGCCAAGACGTCCACGCTGACCTGCGATTGAGGCAGAAAATGTGATTAAATCTTCGGGTCTCGCTGTCTGCACAGTAAGCTGAAAAGCTGTTTTCACGGATTCCAATAATAGAGTATTCCAGAGAAAAACTTTTTCTGGCATACAACGCACTCTTCTTACTGTAAAACACCCTCTTCCCTCCTTTCCCTGGGATTTGACGCTCAGACACAGCTGAATACAGTTTGCAAAATGATTCACAGGCACAGATGTGGACTGCAATATTTGCCTCAGATAACATGAAGTCAAAATTAAAATTACCCTTTGATCCCTGATCTCCAGTGTATCCAGGCAGGCCGTGACCTTTGGCTCCTTTATCCCCTTGTTCTCCCGTGTCACCTGCAATCCAGACACATACATACGCACATGCACAATGACCTCTTAGCAGGAATGACAGCAGTCAGGCTGAAACGCGATTCCCCCAGGAGCAAGCTCTACTCAAGAACAAGACGCTCATGTTGATTAAAGACCATATGTGTTACTGAGATCACTGTTAAATAAATGTTTAAAACACCTTGTAAATATTCCTCGATTTCACTGGCCTGGCACGGGAATGTAGTACGACTGTGACATCATGCTCAGGCCTCAAACCATAAATTAGAGCCGAGAATGTACACGTTAGTCTGCTGGGTTTACAACACTGTACAGCATTTGATTCAGCAGTTTCATACGGTGCGGTTCATAATGAAACATATTCACATGTTTTTCCGTTGGTGGAAAGTAGCTCAAGTACTTATAATTTTGCTTGACTTTATTTCAGAAGGAAATGTTGTCCTTTTATTCCACAACATTGACATGATATGGGACGTTATTGTAGATTTAACAACCTAGCAGTAGATTTAAATCTTAAAATAATGTCACACATTCTGCATAATGAGTAGTTTTCCTTTTGATACATTTTACAAAGATTAATTATGTACCTGTGTTCTACCTAAAGTGGTAGTCCAGTGATTTAATACAGTGCTGCCCACTTAGTGCCATACCGCTGTAGAGAATATCTTATTTATAATCATAAAATATCGAAGTCCTGAATCATTTCCTATATAACCTATAGTAAAACAACCCATCTATTGTCATAATCCTGTTTTTTATCATAACGAAATTCCCAAAAATTGATTCCAGGAATAACTTTTGGCCGTTTAAAGTCATGGTCGGCTGATCGTTGCAGCTCACGGGCCGAGAGTCGGTCATGCGTGGCAGATTATCAACCCAGGTCAGCCGCGGAAGGCAACGTGTTTGTTTGTTAATTACCTGCTCCCCTGAGATCTGAGTCACTGAGTTATTCACACACTGTCTGACATTAATTAGGGCACATCAAAGAGAACCACATTGTTGCAGAGCATGTTGTCACTCATACCCTGACTGCTCAGCTAGTTAAGCATGATAAGTCAGTCCCCTGTATATCCTCTGATTAAAGGAAATAATTTTTATTGATGGGGCGGCTTTTCACATCGACAACCATGAAACTTCACTGAAGCAAAACCATAAAGCTCCGTTTGAATAAACATTTCTTGATCTTCAACAAAACTTTCCCTTTGCTCTTGTGAAAACAATTACCACTTTGGCTTTACGTATAAACTTGCCGCCATCTTGAAGCCCGCTTATTGGAATATCCCAGATATAGTCAGAATTCCATCATGGACCGAGGGTGTGATAATAAATGGGCAGCACTGTGCTGTACTTACATGAAGGAGGAGGACTAGTGGGGGACAGATTTTTTGTTTTTTTAAAAAAGGAAAAAGAAAAAAAAACAACAGTCAAAATGACTGCAGAAAAAGTCCCAACAGTTTTTCCATACTAATAATCCAGCTCTCCTTTCACTTTCTTTTTTAAACCTAATGTCTCAGGTTTGTGACTCATGCTAACGTTTCTGTTAAAGCGCACATATTATTCACATTCACAGGTTTAGAATTTAATTTTTGGGGCCTAATAGAATATGTTTACGTGCTTTAATGTTCAACAACACATTATTTTTCTCACACTGTACATTGCTGTATCACCTCTTCTCTCCTTCAATCGAATTGCTCTGATTTAGCTCCTGTCTCTTTAAAGCCGCCTCCTTAAAGCTCTACTTCTTAACTTTTAACTTTTAACTTCCAGCTCTCAACTTTTTAATTTCGTTGTACTTTGTGTTTGAGGATAATAAAAGTATTCTATTCTATTCTATTCTATTCTATTCTATTCTATTCTATTCTATTCTATTCTATTCTATATATAGAAGATATAGTTGCCCCTGCTGGCCATGATATGGCATTTTTGGAAAAAGTGACCTTTTGCACAGCTTGACCCCAAAATCTAATCATTCCGACTTGTTAGACTTTAGCACTCGAACTGCAGACTGTTCACAGGCCCACAGACAGGCGGATGGGACTAATTATACTCTATAGTTTCCCCCTGGCCAGTGGTAACTATAATAATAATGCAAATAGCTTGCAAACAGCTGGTGAAAATGGTGGAATTCTTGAAGTTAATACTCAAGTGGCCAGAAACACCAAATGAACACTAACATTGCTCCATGTTCAACACATCTGCCGTATCAGCCTCATATGGTGACGATGTATTAATGATGTGTTTGCAGCTTGTTGTTCTGCTCCTCAGTGGCCAAAAGAATTAAACAATACCGGTTTACCTCAAGGATCTCATTTCTTTTTTCCAGCACTGGTTCTTCCTAAAACAAGCCTTGGTGAGTTATAGCGTTGGTATTAATCACACAATATCCATAAATATCTTCTGTCAGGCTTGTTATTCGCACCTGTTTCTCCTTGTTGGCCTGTTTCTCCGGCTTCTCCATAGAATCCCGGTGGACCCACTTCTCCATCAACGCCATTATTACCGGGGTCCCCCTGACAACATCATCAACAGGAAAATACATTGTTAATCTTTTGCATGTTTTCACCATAAACCTTGCAATGTTTTATTACTCCTCAGATGCTCTTTTTGTACGTTACGAAGTACAGCTTCATTCACCTCCGACCAGCTCTGTACAACAAGCTCGAAAAGATTTATTTGGCTGATGACTCAATAATCTGATGGGAAAACACTGTATCGTACTCGAGCATCACTTATTCTGGCATTACCACAACATCAGGTTTGTGGACAATGTTCTAATACAGTAGAATATTTTTACGTAGGTATGGCTTCATGAACATTTATCAGCCTGAGAGGCATTGTGATTAGAAGTTGTGGAACATGAATTGATTCTACACTGTATAATAATGTGGAAAAGGCTTTCTAATCCAAGGACAGCCTTGATACTCTCCAAAAACCATTCAACACAGACCAAGTGTCTAGTCAGTGACTCCTTATTTGTCCTCATGGAGACGTGGAAAATCGTAATGTTTTCATTCCAAGCTTTTCTGCCAAATACTTCAGCTCTCTAAGTCCAGTCCAGAGCCTCGCAATGTGTTTGCATTTTACCAAGCCAGGGCAAAAAAAAAAAAAAAAAAGAAGAACAATGTATGGAGAATGTGCTGCACCCTAACAGTGTGTCTCAGCTAACGTTCTGCGGGAGGTGAGGTGACATATAAAGCTGCGATTTTGTGAAAAAATTAAAAAAATAAATGCCTCGAGAGTGCAGGCTGATACATCTTGAATAATGAACATCCAAACTGTTAAACTCACGGGAGGTCCGGGTGGTCCTTTCTGTCCAGGGGGACCAGGGGCACCCATGGGAACATCCCCATACAGAGGGCAAACGGCAGCGCACGTCCTCTTCACTGAGTTGGCAAAGGTGGACATCTGCTCCAGGACCACTTTCTTACAAACCTCGATCACGTGTTGAGCAGGGAGGGTTGGCCCCTGCGTAAGAAATCATTACCACATCCATCACTGGAAGTGACCCAACTCTGGGACATGTAAAATGGAATATTACAGGACAGAGCATGCTGAAGCAATGGCTGCCTCTCTGAGGAAATGCAGTGAACAAAGCCAGCAATATTTCCTGAGGCTCATTATGGATTTATAGCCACACTAAATGAAACTCTTGCTGTGAGTCACTGCTAACTTCAGGCTAATGAGAAACTGTTTAAATGTGTTCTTGACACCAAAGTTGTTACTAAACACAGCGTGTGCCAGTCGGTGTAACTACTAGAGCAAATGATTACTCTGCTGTTTCTGTGCCATCATTCAGAGATAGATGAAGTGAGACTGAGGAGGCTGCTTTTCATCTCAATTACAGAGCTGAATATAAAAAATAATAATTTACTGTAAGCGCTGTAATAAAAAAACATTTGAAAATATAATAATTAAAAAAAAACAGGGTCTTGTATATTACTTACTGGTGGACCCGGGGGCCCCTGAAAGCCATCTGGTCCTCCTTCACCTCGAACCCCCTTGACTCCAGTGGGACCTGAACGTCCAGGTGGGCCCGCAGACCCGCGCTTCCCCCGTGCTCCCTGAGGACCCTGCTCACCCCTGTCTCCAACCTACAGAGCATGTTAACAACATCAGCAGGACAGGATATAGTAGAGCAAGTGTATCCATCTGAAGACAACATGTAATTACTTTCACATGGACACAAACTCCATGGAAAGTAGTACCTGCTTAAAATGCACATTATGTTATGTTGGTGGGAGTAATAATAAAACACAGCCACTAACAGAGTCATGCAAATATCAAATAATAGAATAATAGTAAACATGCAAAGAGCAAAAGTCCATTTAAAAGCATGTGAACAGTTTATGTAATATTGGAATTCACAATATTTGGAGTGCACACAACCTGCTAGAGTAATATCTGAGTGTTTGAACACTCAGATATTACTTTGGACATTTTTTAAAATCTAAAATCCAAAACAAAACTCAAATCCGGCAGAGAACATCTGAGAAATGTGCAAGATTCATTTTGGTGGGGTTGTGGGCGGCGCTGCTCTTATCACATCTACAGATGCTCTAAATATGTTTGGAATGTTATTTGATGGATTCATGTGAGATTTTTCAGACTATTCAGTTTGCAGAGAATGTGATGGATGGAAGATTTTGTAACCATTGACAGAAATATCAGAGAATTAGGAAACACTCACACCTGCGTGACTGCTGTCCTCAGTGAACCATCTCATCACGGCCAACATGTTCTCATTTATCTTCAAATTATATCCAAGGATTGGTTTAAAAGTGTCTGGTTTAAAAGCCCATGTATTTATTTATAGCAAACCATTTCACTGAGGCCTTAGATGTAAAGTTAAAGGGATCTACTAAGGATAGCTGGTATGTATTTTAATTATTACTGTTAATAACACCATCTATTGATGAAAACATAATCTTGTATTTTCACAGCTCACCTTTCCTTTTGGGCCCTTAACTCCTTTTTCTCCCTTTAAAAAGAAAAGAAGCAAACTGTTAAGGAAAACCTAATGCAGACAGTATCATGATTGCAGGAAGGATGAAATATTTAAGGCAGTACCTGTGCACCTGTAACTCCTTTGATTCCTTGGATTCCTGTGTCACCCTGTACAAAGCAAATGAAAAACAAACAGTGTCCAGACGCTTGCCAATATTTGCGATATCACAATTTCCCAGGTGTGCTGCTCATTCCCCGGTAAACAAGCACCTATCAAATAAACACACATGATAACAGATGTTGTGTGCATTATCAGGGTGTCAAAAAGGCAATGTGACAGCGTGAAAGAGGATGAACCCAAAGAGGAATATTTCCTGAAGTTCTTTTGGCTTTTCAGAGCTTTAAATTGAGTTTCAGCTCATTGCTTAACTATCCAACTTGTGATATTTTAGTTCACCCATTCTGGGCTGTGAAGAAACTCTGAAAACCCCTGTACTCTACTTGTTGAACACCAAATAGTGGACAGCAGACTTGGATTCAGATATTCCACCAGAAAACAAAAGCTGGGCTAAAAGAGAGTGAATATTTTATCAGGTCCCCTCAAACAAGACTGAATTACAGTGTTGCTCTATAACTGCTGGAAATGTAAAGAAGAAAAACTGTTGGCGAACGTGTTTGCAACGTCAACCTAAGTGTCATTTTTGATTTATCTCTGTTGCCTGCATTTGACCAGCGTTTTGTGCATTATTAGTGAGCACATAATATAATGTCTGACTCCACCTGAAGTAGTCAGCCATTTTCAGAACCTTCACCACGAGGCTTTAAATGTTAGTTCAGCATTACCAATTTATTCACTGCAAGATGACATGCAGCCATTCACTCATTGGTTTTATGAGCAGCTTCCTTAAAAGTTAACTCAATCTGCAAATTTTTAAGCCTGCAAGAGGTAGCCTTTAACACCTTAGTACCACTTTTAAATCAATGACTGATGTCTAACAAATACTTCCCTCCTTCAGCGCTGATCTATTATCTGAACATGGACACATCTGATCAGAGCTTTTGCCATATCAAATTGTGTCATCCTTCAGAATGTCCACTTTCTGATTGATAGTTGCAGGAGGCCTTCATTTAACTGCTAGCTAGAGGAGAACGTGGCACTTTACTAACTTGTTTCTGTCATATTAGATTTTGTAATGATTCTCCATCTCTGAAAGAAAACTCTCTATACTGTCACATTGAAGTTTTCTGCATTTGATCAATCCGATTAACCTTAAATTAGTTTGACTTTTTGTTTATAGTAATGCGTCTGTATTCCTTCTGAACACTGGCTTAAATTACTAGCCATTTATTTTTAGTTTAGGTTTATTTTAAAAAACAGGCCTATGCCAGGTTTCTGCTCCAAATGTGGGTTCTCTTCTATCAGATTTGTTTGCTCTCGAGTACGCCACAGAGACATAAACAGATAAAAGAGCGGCTTCTGCAGGATTATCTGTCTTTTTCATTGGCGCGGGACATTGTGTAAACATCAAGAACAGGTCCTGGGGGGAAGATTAGCACTCGCCTTGACCTCCTGTACAGATGACAAGAATAGGATACACTGAGCCAACCTGCCCTGAAGGGTAGCCTCTAACCTGGATTATTGAACCCTTTATTCTGCTCGCTCACGGTGCTTTATTACGAGCTCGCTGGGTGAACATACAGTGACTAAACCTTCTCAACTTGTATGCTCAATTTGTGGGCTGAAAAATGGTTTTGATAATATTATTAAAAGGGCTGTCTCGTACCTTATTGGACCTAAATACAAGGTTTTATTCCAAACCAGGCACAAGTCTTGGTTTTGGAAAGAGAATAAATCAACAAATCTTAAATTCTGTGTGGCTCATTGACCCAGCAAATAATTCCTGAATAGCCGCAGTAATTGTACCATTAAACTGTAATTTTGCCCTCATTTTGTATCTCTAATGGGTAATGGATGAAGATGTATTACCTTGGTTCCTGGTTTTCCAGGCACACCCACGTGTCCCTGTGAAAAGTTGACATTGTTCAGCAGCTTGAAGAAAATGAACTAGTGTTTGGAGAAGTTCAGAAAATTCATCTGGAGCACTTACAGTAGGTCCAGGTGGGCCAATAAATCCAGGTCTTCCTGGCTTCCCTGCAGAGCCCTTGTAACCTCTCAGGCCCTTGAGAATAAAGCATTTATTAACCAACCAAAGGGGCTGCTTTATTCTTTGTTGTCTCCCCTTAAGATGGCAAACTACTTTGCAAACAAAACGTATTATATGCTTGTCTTCAAGCATGATTGAAATGCCTGAGAATATGGCTTACAGTTCGTCCTTGGGGACCCATTTCTCCTGCTGACCCCAGGGTGCCTTTCTCCCCCTGTTAAACACACAAAGCGTCACGAATTAATCTGCTGAAAACAACTCCATATTGCATTTCTTTACAAAACCAAACCAGATCAGTGAGTTACCTTTGCCCCAATTTTTCCAAGTTTTCCACTGAGGCCTTGTGGTCCTTGATAAGCCTGCAGGGAATAAATGATGTTTAGAGTAGAAGGATACAAGAGCACTGATTTCAAAATTCAACATAAAGATGTTATTATAAGCAGAAATTACCTCTATTCCTGGGTCACCATCTCTGCCAGGTAAACCTGGATCTCCAATAATGCCCTGGGAAGACACCACAGTTTTCATTGGCCTTACACATTATTATGAGAATGTAATTGAGCAGTCATGTGTGGTTGTATCATTACCTTCGCTCCAATGGTGCCAGCTCTGCCCACAGGTCCTTGGATCCCCTAGATGTTTCAAGTATAGACAAAAAACATGTTCATCAAAATTCTAAATAACATACTATACACACTAGTGTAAATAAACAATAATCAAAAGGATATGTGACTAATTTGTGATACTTACAGGCTTTCCCTTCTCTCCAGAAGTTCCCCTTTCTCCAGGATCTCCCACAATACCCTGTCAAATCATCATTTGAAGCACCATAAATCAAGATTTTAATTCATCTGCGACACACCTCATCCACTAAGCGACATGGTGAACCTGGGAACCTTCCTTTACGTACAATAGAGCAGGTTATCACTGCGGTTCAGGCGGTGACTCACCACCTTATGTTGATATAGCTCAGGCCTTCAGATCTCAGCCAGAATCCAGCCACACGAACTAACGTTGTTTATGGAGACGGCACATAAGCCAAAAACATAGCTCTATTCCAGTGTTTTACCACATTAAAAATGATTTACAGGTTCTTCACGCTCACATGAAAGGATTTTGGAGATAGTGGGCAAAGAATTAAGAGTGTTTTGTTATGGATTATGGAACTGGGAATCACTGCAACAACCTACCTGCTTGCCTCTTGGCCCAGGCTGCCCTTCTACACCAGCGTGCCCTTTTTCACCCTAAAAATTAAACGAAGGGCTTAGATGATGGAAAATTAGGGAAAAAGAGAGATAGATTGAAAGGAAACATTAATACCTTAACTCCTTGAAACCCTGGTATCCCTTCATATCCTATGTCGCCTTTAGCGCCCTTCAAAGAGTCAACAATGTTAATAATACAGTAATTACACAATCACTGACAAAATGGCTTACCACTTAGTTTAAAAGGTTAACATACAAGTTCTCCCTGTTCCCCAGTCTCGCCGATGTCTCCAGGTGGTCCCCGAACTCCCTTTAATTACAGTCAAAATGTCAAATTTAAATCCTCTCAGTTATCTATAAAGTTACACAACTACAATAAAAAAAATAAAAAAATAAATAAAAAACTTGTGTCTTCATTAAATAGATGTCAACGAGTCCAATTAAACTCAGCAGAGGAATTTACCTTGAAGCCTGCGGCCCCTTGTAATCCTGTCAGGCCCTTGGGACCTCTGTCTCCCTGTTAGCACAACATCTCATTAATACACACTTGTAGCATTTCAGGGAAAGGAAAATGATTAATTTGAGAGATAAATTACCACTTGGCCCCAGGGTCCTCTCATCCCTTTCTCGCCTTTGATGCCCTCTTCACCCTGGGGATGTTTGTGCGAGGTTTCATTAATGCATACTGTGATAGAGTCAAACTGAAGTGTAGCCCTAATAGGAGCTTATGAACTCAGCTCTAACCTTTGGGCCTGACTCGCCAACGTTGCCGTAGTCTCCTGTGTTCCCTCGGATTCCCTGCAAGACAAGTTTGGCTTAATGGCAAGCACTAGACTTCAGCTGTTTGTTTGTGAATGAACCGGCTTGAGGAACAGAGTGAAAAATCGGAATGTCAGTGATTGTTTCCACCGAGAGAAAGTTAATAACCTCTGGGACATTAAACTTTCAATATACCAGGCGGAGAAACTGTTTAGACATGACAGCATTTGTTCCTTAATTAAACACTCAGAAAATATCTGTTGATCTTTCTGCAGTCACTGTGGCAAGACAGACAGTGAATAAGGAGAAAGTCATATTTTAAAGGAATGTTCCAACATTTTGGAAAATACATTTATTCGCTTTCTCGCCAAAAGAGACAGATGCAGTCTCACGCGTCAGGCCAGGAGAAGTTAGTTTATGTTAGCTTAGCATGAAGACTACATGCAGGAAAAAACAGCCGAATCCAAAGATCACAAATACCAGCACCTCTGAAGCTCAGTGTTTACCGCTTTACATCTGGCTTAAATTGTACAAAAAATACTGCTAAAGATACAATACAGCACATGAAAAAAAAACCTAAATTGTGATTTAGTGATTGACCTGAGTTAGTGATGTTTGTGTCCCTTATAGAACAACAGAAACAGTCAGTGGCACAAATGGCAGACATAACACATTATGCAATAAATAACTAATATTCCAAGGCAGCGAAAGAACAGCTGTGCTTAAGCCACTTTAAGGCAGAGAATGGACTATAGGGGATGGTTATTTCCCTGTTTCTGATCTTTCTGAGAAGCTAAGCTCCCTGTCTCCCCTTTACCTTTACTTCTAACCGGTTGTGGCAGCTGGCCGCCCTCACTCAGCCTGGTTCTGCCAGAGGTTTGTTTCCTGGTAAAGGGGAGTTTTTTTTCCTTATCACTGCCATCAGAGCTTGTTCAGATGGAATCTTTGGATTTGTTGGGTTTCTGTCTGTTTGCGCCTCACTGTGGGAAGTGCCTTGAGATGTGAACTACATGAATTAACCTGAATTGAATTGAATTAAGCTATCAAGCTTCTGTGTGTGGTGTCATATTTAGCTGACTGGTATCAATGTTTAATTTTAATTTTTGGCAGAATTTTTTAAAAAGTAAGAAAGCATAGTTCTGAAAAAAGTCACATTATTTCTTTTAAAAATGTGGCTCCATTTAGGAGACAATTAGCTTAGGCTGGCTTGGCTTAAGACACTTAGCTTTGCGTTCCCTAAAGACTGAAAAACTGCCAAACAGCACCTCTGAAGCTCACTTATGAACACATTTGTCTTACAATAGTTTTTATTTTATACATTTCTGACCAGTGCGGCATCCTTTTCAATATTTATCATTTTGAACTTTGGAAACCTATGCTAAGCTAGCTCGTTCCTGGCTGTAGCTTCATATTTGCTGTAGTGGTAACAAGTGTCTCATCAAACTTATGTCAAAACTATTGCTTTGACATAAGTTTTAAAAATCATCGAATAAAATGAGGATGGTTATGTTTAAGAGATGAACATGCTATAAATTTCATTCACACTCTTATTTGTCACATTACTGGAAAACATACACAAGCAGGATTTAGGAAACATCGGTCATAAATGCAAAAACATGGATCAGTATTGTTTGCACAGATGCTGACTTCATCAGCTGTAGAAGGAAAAGTGTTTTCCCAATTGGCAGCGTTACACTGGGTCAACAAACATGTTCGACAAGGCCAGGGTGCCTTTGTTTTGTTTATTTGACCATCTCACCTAACACTGTCTTTAAGCTGAGTCAGCTGGGCGGAGGTTAACCTCAGAGATGGCCGACAGTATGGCGAGAGGCATGACCGTGAACTTTACGACGTTTCTGAGGCATTATAGCTCAGATGAGTAAAGGACCACCCACCAACAGAGATGGGCAGTTCACATATCAGTGCCAGGAAATGCCCTCCTCGGATGTCGGCAAGGAAGGAGATTCACAAGCTGGCAGGTGGTCAAAACTTTAACCAGTTACACAAGACAGATGTTTACTCCCAGATGAGCCGCAGCTGCATTTCAAGACATGAATATGTAGCATGTAGAGCTCTGGAAATGTGCTCTGAGTGTTCACTGGCCTACAGGCCTACATGTGTTTGCTCAGGCAGCATGGGGGATTTCTTTGTGTGCAAAGGGCATGCTAAATGCCAAAGCATCACATTTGTATATATATTTTTGAAAAATCTCCTCCTTTAAACACATGTCCTCTGGATTGTTTTAAAAAGACTCTCTGATTTGTGCCAACAACAGTGACTGCTAAGCATCAAAGAGATTAACAAGTCATAAATCGAAAGTGGAAATAATCACGTCTGCAGCTCTCTGAAGGACATAAATGTGAGAGTGTTTGTTCATTCAACTGATGCATGTGCAACTGGCTCCTTAGCAACATACTTATTGTTCTTATTACTCTTCATATATCTTTAATTCTGTTGTTTTATTTTCTTTAAAATGTTCCTTTTTTTCTAAATTTGTTCTTCCTGAGGTACATTAATATGCCACTAAAATTTAGCATTTAAGAAACAAAACATCTGACAAATTTCACACAAAAGCTGGAGGGTATGGTGGTTGCTTAACTGCCTGTTTTTCCTGTGTGTGGGATTTATTACGTTTGGCATTAGTTTCTTCCAAATGGAAAAGCAAAACCATTAGAAATCCTGTGATCTTCTGCCAGTATGAGTTAAATCCTATATTCTACACCAGCAGAGCCTCTCTGTTTTAAGATGCAAATGGCTATTTCAGAACTACAAAAACAAATTTATTGTCACATCCGTATTGGTTTGTGTTTATCTTGGATTCGTCCTAAACCCCTAAACCCGGACATGAGTTTTCAAACTATGAAAGGAACCCCTGTGTTTACTATCGCTAAGCGCTTCTGCTTCCAGATCTGTTTCCATCCTGTCGTGTCTCAGTTGTGCTCCTGTTGCCATTTTCCACAGCTTCGCTTGTCTCACAAATGAAATTTTTACAATGTCACTCACCCACAAGCCAGTTTAACTCTTTATTGTGCAGCAAGAGGAAGTATATTCTGCTCATGCTGAGAGAATGTGGAGTAAACCCTAAAACATGCATTCAACCAGCATGGCATAAGGTTTTAAATATGCATGACCGAGCGACATATTGCATATTTATTTACCCAGTTTCCTTGTCTTCCGCGGTCTCCAGCTTTTCCTAGAAGACCTATGTGACCCTGCAGAAAAAAAAAAAACACGTCAAAACAGATTGAACAAGTCTTATCAGTATGTTAAACCAGCTCCTTTTACACGGTACAGTCACCTTTGGTCCTGAAGGGCCCTGAATGCCAGGTTGTCCGTGCATACATTTGCAAGACGCTCTTCCAGCCGTGAGGCCAATCTCAGCGTAACCTCCACACTGCCATGAACAGATAAGTAATAGAACGGTTTTGATATTACTCACACATCTCTAAAAGGTTGAGTGCAACAATATTGGATCATAAATGACTCACCACATTGGAGAGCTCGCAGCAGCCCTCTGAATAAGCCTGCTCTGGGTCACATGACACTTCCATCTGCTGCAGGTCCACCTAGACGGAACAGGAGGTAAAATGAGGAATGAAAGTAGTATCAGAATTAAGAAAAATTGACAAAGCACTTCAGATATGTACAAATTCCAGCTGTCAACATACAGATGCAGAGCGATCTCTGGCGGCCCGCTTGACGATGGAGGTGTACCCTCGGCGGATGACCGGTCTTGGCTCATCAATAGACTCCACTCGGACTTCTTCACAGTCTACCAGCAGCTTCACCTGGCTGCCCTTCACACTCAGCGCCAGCTTGTGCCACTCTCCGTCAAACAGCTTTTCCACACCATTAAAGGTCCTCAGCATCTGGCTCCCACGGGGGCTGGTGTAGAAGAAGTCTAAAGAGCGAGTATCACCCTGGAAACGCAGGCCAACCTGCTCTCGTCCCTCCGGGTCACTGACCTGCCACAGGTTCCAGGACGTCCTGGCAGCATCCTTGGTCACCTTAAATGTTGCGATGACGGAGTAGTCGGAGGGAAGTCCATCTGGATACACATCACTGTGGCATGAGAGTGCGGTTTAGAAAGCTGGATGACTTTCAACAGAGGCTACTTTTCTACACAAAACAACAATTAAGAGCTTTTGCGGGAACATAAGGGTTTTATTTTAGGAGAACATGAAGAAGCAAAAACAGCCCCTTGAATTTTATGCTTAAACTCCACATTGGCATAGAAGCTGGGGAAACAATAGCCACATTTGTTTTTGGGAAATCGTTTTGCATAAATTCAGTACTCGGCAGACAAAACCATTTTATGTTTATTCAATGTGAACAAAGCACTAAACTCAAAAGGAAATAGACTAAGAAGAGCACACTAATGAAAACAAGAGTAAGTGTGGACAGCATGCTATCAGGCCTGGGAGACACAGCAATGCTATTTTAACATATAAATAAAACTCTGGACACAAAAAAAGTAGCTTAACACAATGGGGAAATTGTAATTTTGATGCATGTGGTGGTTTGTACCTGCAGAACTTTTGTCTCCCCCCTCCTGCAGTGAGAGGAATTACACAGCACACAGTTTGATACATGCTGAAGGTACATGCCCAGTGGCGATCAACATTTGTCCTTACCATCAATCAAGTTGTTGTTTTTTGTTTGTTTTAATCTGAAGCACCAAAAACATTCTTGGATGCTTCCTACATTTTATTTATTTTTGTTGCCATAGGCTCCATCAGGTGCTGTATCTTACTCCGTCTCTATTGCTAGGGTTTCTCCCCTCTTCAGCTCTGACAAGCCAATCATTGCTTGAATAAAATGGTTTAATGTGCCAATGCAAGTAATGATGGTGACTCAAAACACCAATATGCTGTCAGTTACAGAGATTTTTCATGGCACTGATCGGCCTGATCAGTATAATGTCAACTCATTTGACAAAGGCTTGAATACAATAGATATGTAAAAGTTCTGCACAGCAGCTTTAACGTCTCAGCCTGCTGCAGTAATGTACAGGTGTACTCCAAGGCCCTGTGACATCATCATTAGGGGATACTGCAGGGGTACACATGACTTTTCAACCGAGTGTTAAGCTGCACTTTTAAGGGTATCTTCACAGGAGACTTGACGCTGCAAATACATCAAATATGTGCTTTGTTGCATCTGTCACTACATCTGATGGTAATGCTACTGACACATGCTGGAGAACATATCTACATCAGTGCAGTCAGATAAGAAGCTAAACAAATAGAGATGAGCAAAACAAGATTTTCAGATGACTTTTTAAATCATTTTTCTGCTTCACTATAGTCAGCTGGGTTCAAGGAGTCTGGTACTGTACCTCATGGTCCTCTTTAGATGGATGGAGGGGTTGACGCGGTAGGCCACCGCCTCAGGTTGAGAGCCATCCACTCTCCTCACTCCCCTGGACTCAGGCACACGAAACTCCTCCAACAGATCAAAACCTCACAGACACAAACATTCGGCTCAATGTGACGTCACGCTGATTCAGCTTCAAAGGTGCAGGACTACTTCTGAATCTTATGTCAGTGCTGATATCACCGATTTATGTTTAACCGCTGCATTACTCAGTGCCGTTAACAATGCCATGTCTTCACAGGCTCGATGAAGTAATCTATTAAACCAATTAGCATGAAGTGGATGTTTATTTTCTTTCATGGGTGGATTTAGCTACTGAATTCTAAACACTGGATGCTTTGTGTTGCGGTTTGAATGAGATCAGCAGGTTTACTGTGAGGTTCAACTGTGTGGATGAGGAATTCTGATTATGGATTTTATTGCCTGAATAGAAAATCATTTTAAAAATCCCCCCCAAAAATATTAACAAGTCAATTATCTGATGTTTGGTAAAGAGTGTTAGTTTGCAGGAAGGTTTTTCCGTGAAGTCTCCTGCTGTCTGTGACCTGCAGAGCCAAGTCTAATTGGACATATGTGTCGCTGGCATGAAACACAGTCTGTAGGCCTACATATCAAAGACAGCCTCAAAATGACAGTGAGCAGCAGGATGCTTTAAAGAGAACATTAGGACTGAACAAGTTGTGCTGGCAGACAGTCTTATGTGCCTACAGGTTAAAATAAAATCTGTGTATTGACTGTTTTTATGTGGTCACAGGGAAATTTAGCTGCAGGACTTCAACGGTTCATGTGCTCAGTTTAACCTCATGATGACCTCTTGACCTCTTTATGTCCACTGAGAGCAAGAAAAACTACACAGTGAAATGCTGAGAAGGCAAAAATAATAGACTGTGAACTGACTAGCACTGACATCTGCTGGTCATGGTACAGTAGTACAGTGTTCAACCTGGAAAAAAAGCCTGTCACAGCATATAGATTTGATTATAACCAGTAATTATAGGTTTATTCAACTAGAAAAATGACTAACTGAGATTAGATTAGACGAATGTGCTAACAGAGATAACTGCTGAGATAGCACACATGGCTCCAACATCAAATATAACGCAGTCATCAGTTTAAAAAATGTAAACTTACTTGGCAACTTTTGACCCTGGACCAATCCCAAGATGGACAAGAGCGCTGCAAACACCAGCATATTTTTGCAGGCTGGCATTTTCTTTTTCTTTTTTTTTTTTTTTTGAAGTCAGGGGCTATAAATACCTGTAGCAACCAATAATAATCAATAGATTGTTAGTAATTCAAATAGATTTATGTCAAGATCACATCAGATTCAGTGATATATAGATATACATTAGTGTTTCAAATAGAAGTCAGTCACTCAAAGTAGCTTCAAATCTGTACGTTTCAGTGTGTGAATTGTAAAGATATGCAAAGAGTGGAGGGAAAGGGAAATTAAAAATGCAAATAAACAGAAGAAAACAAACATGTAATGCTGAATTTCGTCCCCTGACCTACTGGGATATCAAATCAGAACTGGTGACATTTTCCTTTTAACTCATTTTAAAATATCAAATAATTAAATATCTTTGATGAAATATGACTGTAAAGGTTTTTTCAACCATTTGGCCGATATGAGAAGATTGTCTTCAATATAAAAAGTTGTATCTACTGTTTTGCCAATACATTTTTCAAGTTTTACCAAAACAGAGCACATAATATACATTACTGAATAACATTGTCCTCTGTTATTATATTATTCTTATATTATAAAGAACTCGTTATGATATTGTTTCCCTCTGCCTTCTCATTTTACGCAGTAAAAAAAACTGAGTATATTAAAATTACTCACATATTCCTGAAAAACAAAATCCAAGGGCTCCTGCTGATGGATCTTTTCCTGGTGTGAGGATATATCCCGCTCTAAAGTACCATCCTGGGGCCAGTGTTTGAGCTGAACAGGAGGACCATTCAAACCAGAAGCTCTGGGTCTCAGAGGAGCCTGACCCCTGAGCTCCACTCCACCTTTGGCCCCCAGGGGGATCTGTCTCTTCTCATAGGCCAGTCAGAACTACAGTCACTACAGTGCAGCACAGTCCACCGCACTGAGTCATCACATTAAGGAAATGCAGGTGAACTTTACGCAGGTTAAAGCTACTGAAAAGAGAAAACAACAGTAATGTTGACGAATACACTTCGAGTTATCGAAAGTTTTGTTCAACGCATCTCTCAAAGGTTTTGTGTATTTTACTGTGCAGAGCTTTTGTACATCTCTTTACACGTCCACTAGTGCAGTAATAAAATAAACACTGGCGTTGTCGAAACTTTACCTACAACAGCTTTAAAGACAGTTTCAGGGTTGTCGCGTATATTCATTCAAAGCAGCGTTTTACCATCTGCATTCTCGCTGAGAGACAGATGTAGTATGTCACAGCTAAACACAAGATGGTCTGCAAACATTCCACTCGGAGTAGACCACACCTTCAATCTGCATCCAACAAAAAGGCTGTAGGGAATAGGGAATACAGAATCATATAATATACTGTAATAACTGCTGCAGCACATGGATACAAATAGAAAACAAAAAATCATGATCGTGTTCTACTTGTATAGACTTGTATGAAACACTTTGGTGATGCTGAAAGAGCCAGGGGAGTTAGATTTATAGAGAGGGACAGAGGTAAAGGAAAAATAAGAATAGAGATTCTAGCAGCGGCTCTGCCCAGCAAACAATCTCGTTTGGGTCCAATGTGGGGCAACTGTGGAAAAAGTAGAGGACCCGTATGGGCAGACCAGCAGTGAACCTCAAATGTGGGTCACCTAGAGATAATCCACAAAGATTATGGGCCCATTAAGACCCTAATTGCAAAGGGTCAATGCAGGCTGACTGAAGGAAAACCCCTGCATGGGCTTCCCACAGAAAATCCACAGTGGACCTGCTGGTGGATATAAGTGGGCTCTCCCTGGCCACAGTGACCGTAATAAACCCATAGTGGCTTCTCTGCTGGGTGCGAAGCTATTTGTAAGCTAAACGCTTACATTAGCAAGCCAACATGCTCACAGTGACAAAGCAAACATCCAGAATGTAAGTAAGTGAGTTTATATGTTCCTCATCTTCATCAGCATCCACATGATAATGATACACACAGGGTGCAGATGAGGTTGAGGAAAATGTTTTCAAAGTTATTGTGTCACTGATAAAGACTAAATGGCACAAAATGAAAACTGGGAACCATGAAAATCTGTATAAAATGTTGTGCAAATCTTTTTTTTTTTAAGTTTTTTTTTTTTTGCCTTTGTTGATAGTGCAGTGAGAGAGAGAGAGGAAAGTAGGGGAGAAGAATGTGAGGAGGACGTGTGGGAAAGGGCCATGAGCGGGATTCGAACTCATGACCTCCACATTGGGACTGTAGCCCTACACTTGAAACGTCAGCTCAACCATTTGAGCTGTAGCGGCGCCCGTGTTGTGCAAATCTATTCATTTACTGCGTGATACATTTTCTGTTGATAATGGTGCAAGAGAAAACATCACAGCATCACCATTCGGATCCCTCAGATATTTCAGTGCGAGCCAAAGTGGTGAACCGACTGACCAACCCACAGACAGACGCTGCCATCCCGAGCTGCTGATGAGCCTGATGAGCTAAAGTCAGCAAAGCAGAGACGATTCTGTGGTCCACACCAGTCTCTGGTGGCTTTCTGCAAGCAGGTTTATTACAAAGTAATATTACAGTAACAATTTCAGCTCTACCGAAATTAACCATACATTGACATGGATGCACAGAGAATGTCTACATAGAGTGGCACCTCTTCAAGGTCAATGTACACGTTGCTGTGAAGTGGTCAAACCAAAGAGGGGCTGCAGCTGCTGACAAACAAACAGGACTTGAAAGCTTCATGATTACGAGGTTTTTGCTACTTGTCTTAAATAGGGGTTTTTCAAAGGTTTCTGCAGTGCTTACTGGGGTTTACTGTGGTATATTGCATTGCCCTTTAAATGCAAGTTGGCAGTATAACATAGCACTTAAATAGATAATTGCAGTGCCTCCAATGGTACCATGAAGCACCATCTACTCCAAACATCAGCATACATAAATTACAGTACATTCAGTAACTCTCAGAGCGCTAAGTCCACATTTTTGCCCTTCATTAGTGTGTAGAAATGTTAGTTAACCGTTCCACTTGCTCATTCCCAGATTTTCCTAGTGTTCATCAAACCTACAGGATTTGCATAAATAAAATAAAATACAATAAAAACAATTTGACATTTTTTTTCCCCACAAAAAATAAAATACATTAAAAACAAATACACAAGGCCATTAACATTCCATTCTCACATAATATTAAACCATATTGCCTCTTAACAGAATATTTTACATCTTCGCAACGATTTAAATAACACTCAACACATTTTGCAGTCTTTTAAGTTCAACGTTTCCAGTGTCCATTATGTGTTTTCGGGTGCAACTAGCTCCTGGGTTGTTTGTTTTCAAGGCCACTGACTATCGCTTGGATCCCTTGGCCAGTTTGCTTGTGGGAGTGGTTCTTTTTTGAGGAGTGGGGATCTTGGAGGGTTTTCCTCCGTGTTGGCGGGACGCAGACCGCGGCGTTGCTCTGGTGGACTCACCGACCGTCTCGGACACATCTGAACACACAGACTGGATGTCCGAGATGTCGAAGTCGGAGGCGTCGCTTCCTCTGCGACTGCTCCCTCTGCTTCCGGCTTTACTTCCTGGCCGGCTGGAATTTTTTCTCGACTCTGGAAACACAACAATCAAAGACGATGATTAAGAAGTTTGAGTTTCCTGTGTTTTGTCACAGGTTATGATTTGAGGTTTGCTGTTAGTAGCAACCGCTGCCATAGCGACTGAAGGTCACCCTGACAACAGATCTGTGACTAAGCTGGTACGAGCAAGCATCTTTTCAAACAACATGAACACATCACTGACATGTAATCATCTTTTAAGCTGATACAGCAAACTTGTTAGCAAACACTTCCTACCGACACATCCAGCTGACAGCGTTCCGCAACGTTCACATTCGCTGAGGCAACGTTCACATTCAAGTAGTGATATACTGATGTTCTACTCACCACCTATTCCCTGTGTACGAGCTTTCAGTACGGCAGCGCTGATCAAGGTTCCCTCTTCACCAGACTGAAACCCTTTGCCAGACAAATACCCAGGAAGACGCAATTTGCTGCCTTGAACCGCTGAACTCTGTAAAAGACACAACTTTAAGTGTTGCAATTTGTAATCAACGGCGATTGACGGTACAGTACCAGTATATAATTGCAGAAAACGATGCTTACCGACAAGTTATACCAGAAAATATTACTGAGTTAGTTTAAAAGTTTAGGAAAAAATGCTTTAAAAATCCTTATTTTTGCAGCAGCCGAGGCGTCTTATTTAGAAACAGTTAGTATGATTGAAGGTAGTTATTGAGCCTTTAAACAATCACACATGCATAGATAACACTTAGAAAGTCAAAGACAGAGCAGTTGGCTTAAAATAAAGCAGATTTCTTTTTTTTTTTAATCAGGCAAGACTTAAAGATTGAGCCCATTATGCAAAGAAATTAAGAGTTTATAGACCCAGCTGAAATCGCTGACTTTGCTTCTGTAAATTTCATCAAAAAATCAGAAATCAGCTTACAAAAAATTAATAAATACACCTTGTACTTACTGGTAAAATTGTTTTCATCTCTTTTTTAAAATAATCTGTAGTAGATTTCAGTTGGGTCACATATCTAAAGCGTTCCGCATCATGTGCTTTATAAGACTATACCTCTGAGGATGAACCTTGGCTCCCAAAGGAGTCTGATGATTTAAGAGGAGTGGAGGGTTTGCTGTTTGTAAGCCATGGCTTATCATAATTGCGGGTTATGTGTTGGGGAGTCTGGGGAACAATGGCAAATCAAAAAACACAGATATGGTTTCATAAATCAAAAACTACAAGGATTTACTAGATGGGAGAAACAGAAATTAAATCACAAAATAATCAAATAATGCAAAACAAGTAAAGAAAGGCAGATAATTAAGAGGAAAATCATGGTAGGAAATGATCAATCTACAGAAGGCGAAACAACGGCCGGCTCTCACGGCAGACGGGGCCTCTCACCTTGGGCGTGCTGGTCAGTGCTTGGTGTGACGGCACCGGGCAGCTCTGGCTGGACGTGGATCTGTTGGGAGAAGCTCCTCTGGACGACGGCCGAGACCTCCGGCCTCTGTAGCGGAAGCTTGCCATCACCTGTGTGGTTCCCTCTGGGAGGATGAACTTCTCTCGCAGCTCCATGTTGGTCCTGCCTTTAGCTAAGAGATTACATTCCAAATGAGCCGCACTTCATAAATACATCAGTGATTATACATACAGTTATTTTTGTGCTGATGGTGATGAAGTTGATGATGAGTCAACACTTTATTTTCCACTTTAAGTCTTGAAATTTCTTAGAATTTCCCAATAGTTTTATAGGACCTTTGCTTTTTTAGGTAAGTTGAAATATCTTTGAAAGAGCTGCTAGATTATTATTAGAAACTTTATGTAGCGTATATGTTGAATTGTACTGTTGGCTGTGAGGAAATTAAACATTTTGGCAACTAAATTCTCCAATTGTCTGTAAAAATTGTCTGAAATTTCTCTGTGAATAGCACCAAATTACATAATGACTCTATGGAAATTTCAAATAAATTCTCAAATACAGATGGGAATTATTGAGAAATTACTAAGAAACTACAGACGCATAAAATAAAGTGTTACCATGATGTGATTGTCTCTTTTCTAATAAAGTGCATTATTTAAAATGCACAAACGAAACAACAAACAACCCATGCATCTTCCCATTTTATACATACTGCCCCAACAGGAGTCCAATTACTGCTGCTGTAGAATAAACTTTTTGTTTCTCCGTATTCAAAGCTGATGAAATTAAAATAAATCAAAGCTTGCCTAACTACTTCCACAACTAAAACCTGCCAAATTAAGAGAAATACAAAACCAAGAAAACACAAACTACACAGAAAAAACTAAACTTGGGAAGTTGTGTTAAAAACAAAAGACTTTCAAGCAGTTTTAATAACTAAACCACAAAAAAACAGTGCAATAAATACTGTTTCAGTTTTGTTGTGAGTTGTGTAGAGACAACGTCACCATTTTCTCCAATGACGAGTATTTGCCATTTACAGATAACATAGACAGTTCAGCATCTCTTGAACCTTTCATTGGGGTTTCAAATGCTTGCAGCAAAACCTGAAAACTGCAAAAGAAGCTTGGCTCAGAGCCCCTCATTACATGCTGGGAGAGTAAAGAAAGAGCTGATTCGTCAAGTCCCAAAATAGTGCCTCAGAGAAAGTGACAGCAGGTGATGTGACTCACACAAACAACCGCATGCATGAAAAAACCAGCCGCAGCTGAATGACAGTTGATTTTGTGAGCGGAGCCGGTTTCGGAGAATGCCATTCATTCACACTCAGCTACGGCAACGCACACCAGGACCAACACAAAGCAGCACACGCTCGGATGTGCAGACACACATACCACTGTCGGGTTCATGGAGCAAGGTGAGAAAGTGTGAGATTTGCCAACCTATAGGAGACTGAGTAATTGAAGAGTTTGATTCCGAGCGCAACATTTTGCTCCCGTGGTGGTGAACTAGAAGAAATGATATCATGTTCAGCAGGCGGAGGGGTTTAGCAGGAAAAACAGAAATTGATAATTAATACAGAAGACAGCGGAAACAAGCAGAGTACAAGAGCTTTTCTTTTTTTTTTTTTCTTTTGCACTAGACATGGACACAGGTAGGAAACTTTCACGCATTTCCAGGAGATGATTTAAGTCTTTCTGTGTTTTCTCACTGAGATTTTCACTCGAGAGTGAGTTTAGTGAATAAAAGAAAGTACATAACTAGTGGCATAACTCCAAAACATAGTATAAATCAGTACAATGGTCCAATACAAAGACAAGAAAGAAGTTCTTCAAACTAAGAAAAACAAACAAACAAACAAACAAAACACTTACTCTTTTGTAGCTGTTATTCTGACTTACTATACTAAGGAGGAAAAATGCAATGCACTAATAATATTCATCATGTTATTTTGGTGAAAAAATACCTTTATTACCAATAGATTTTTCACTGACTGACTTTAATCCTCAGTAATAAACACAGTAAGTAATTTTCACACTAAGCATGTTGTAACTTTAAGGCAGTTCATGTTAAAATGATTAAATTATTGCACAGTATTTCCCTGCTGCAGCTACCAAATTGTCATAATCTATGTAATAAATTCTAACAACCCATACAGAGGAAGATCATAGTGATAGAAATGTTTCTGAGAATCGGAAAAACTGGACAACCAAAGTCAGATTGATGGAGCCCTCAGCAACGCCTACCTTCCCTCATTTAAAAATGACAAAGAAAAACCTAAATGGATCTAGAAGGAAACCTTACACAAAACTAGACATGTACGTTTACTGCGCACTTAATCCGTCAGCCCTGCTTTGTGACTTGTCGTGCTAAACTTTTGAACTCACCTCGGCAGGGGTCGTTCTTCACCAGGAACTCGTCCAGAGCCATCCAGCCTCCTCCAACCCGCACCATCACAGTGCTGCGTAAAATCCGCACCAGACGAAGCTGCTGAGAGTCTCCAAACTACAGCGGGGGAAGGAAAACAGAGAGGGGACGTGTGAAAACACTGACCTTCCCACGAGCGCTGCAGGCTGAAAACTGTGCAACATTGGAAACCAGACTGGTTTGGAGAGTCAAATTTATTACACTGAATTTATTTTGCTTTGTTTTGGGTGAAAACAGATCAAACGTTTAATTAAGCTGCAAAAAGGTGCTTTAGGTTCACTACTGGTTTCATTTCTATGTTGCACAGGTTCACACACGCACACACACACACACACACACACACACACACACAAAGATTTTGACACAAAGACATCAATCTTCACATTTCATTTCATTCTCGAGGACACAAATTACACAAAGATCAACTGATTTTCTTTCACTAGTGTGTGTATTATTCTAAAATTATTCAAAGAGTTCATGCTAAAGTGAATTGACTTTTATAGTTTCTCATGCCTAACACTTCTACTGATACATTCAATCATTTGATGTCGAGCCTGACTGATTTATTGTTGGATCAAAAGTATTAGCAAATACTGGAGATACAGTATATTGATGTAAACTATTTAAACCAACAGGAAAAAGTAAATCACATAAACCTAATGCAGAAAAAACTGCACTATTGTAGTGCCTTCATCAAATCATCAGAATTTTTGGGACATGTTGTAACTATTTATACTCACAGCTTCAAAGCTTTAGCATCAGTCAGGCTCTACATTCATGTCAGTTAAAGTTAATAGTTCATATAATGTGATCTCCTGTTTTGTGTCGTAAAGCTGGGCAGTTACACAAACTTCACGGCTGTACAAACTTGGCTACTCAAGTTTCTCATGTCAGTGATTTCTGCTGATATGTGGTTTCAGTTTTAATGTCTGACTATATTTCAGCAGTGCATCTGGTGCCGTTACTGCAGGATTAGCCTGTAAAAAAAAACGACAAGAAAACAGACCTGAAGGCACATGATTGTACCACCAGGGGGCCCTCGTGTATAATCATTTGCCTTCATCTGACCAATCACACAGTATCACACATTAGAACACTGAGCATGTTATGGGTGTGAATGGTTCAAGCCGTATGGAGGTGATACGAGACAGAAATCAGCCAGTCCGATGTGACAATGAGCATTAGCACAGATACATTAAATTTGCACAGAACAATCACAGCCGCATGCTTTCTTGTCAAAACCAGAATTCACATTTTGAGCAGGCAGACAGACATCAATCTCCTGCAGTCCAGCACTTTGTTGCACTTTCTACAGCTATGACTCAAATGCTCGGGATGCATTGACACTGATGCAGGTCCGATGCAGCTAGCTCCGATGGCACACTGAGAACAACATGAGGAATGGTTCGGATCAGTTCTGTCTAAATCTAACACACTGTGACACGCAGACATGACCAAACACTGATGACCCTCCAGCTAAGTGCCGACTATCTTATGATATCTGTAACTGGTTACAAAAACAAATAAAACAAAATCTTGCACTTGTATGATTATCAGAATGATTCAATGCCACTGGTGATTTTAGTGATCAAATACATTAAAGGTGATGATGATCTGGAGGAAAAAGAGGCACAAGAAACAACTTAAGAATAACCATTTACCAGAATACAGCTTTCCAAAACCGCAACGTGTAGGTGGGGGGTAAGATTTTGATTTTCCCTGTTTGCTATTGTCTCATCGCCGATTAAGGAGTCATGTAAGCAGTGAACCAGACCAAACTGTCAAAAGAATTATTTCAATTCAATGTCGTGTGAAACAGCAATACAAACTAGTTCATGAAGCACCACTAAAGCCCCTGTCCCCTCACACTAACACCTCCAACAACCCATAACAATATAAAAAAAAAACTTTCTGCAACATGCAATTTATCAGGACATATTAACTCAGAAAGAAAAATGAAAAGCAACGTATTAATTGAAATCATCATCAAGTTTGCCCAACTTTAAAAAAACAAATTAATAAAGTGTCAGTTATGCAAACGTGTGTCAGCCAATGTTGAGGTAAATCATTCCCATGACTGAAGCACCAAAGGCAAGCACACAGAAAGCATTATTATATGCCCAGCAGATGAATTTATGCCCGTGGACCAATAAAATATGGGCTGAAATGGTATTGGCACGTCAATATTGTATTTTCTGAAACTCAAAAGCAGATATATAAACATTTACTACATTGATTTTCACATAGATTGTCTTATTTTCCATCAACACAAAAACTAATTTGAAAATAGAATGACATAAAACTTAAAACACATTGGGCTTTTAAGGCTTTATAGTTCATTTTAAATCAATTTTTTTTGGATAATATTAAGCCACCACCACATTGTTGGATGGAAAAGAGATTAAAAGAGCTGGCCAAGGATTTTTATTTCTACTTCTGAGTTCCAGTCTGAGAACATCAGCCAGGAATCTGGGCAGAAAGTGTTAACTGGACAGAAAACGTGGTAAATGAAAAAGGACATAAAGCTTGATAAGGCACATAACAGAAGGATAAAAAGCAGAAGATGACGTTCATATGTACCTGGTTTCCAAGGTAGAACTGGTGACGTGAAGAACAATAAAAATATAGACAAGTTAGCATGTGTTGATGTTTAATGACACTTCAGCACATTCAACCCTTACCTTGACCAAGAGAGAAAACTTTAGAATTTGAAAGATTTCATAACCACGTCACAGCTTGTACTTCTTAAAAATACATATAGTATTTAAATAAGCTGAAAAGTTCAAAATGTGCTTACCCGGTATTTGTTGGCACCGATTTGCTCCACTTGGAATCGTTTTGGACATTTGCACTTTGCCACTTGACGTGTAACCTAAAAGCAGATAACTTTTTATTGAAGTCTGTCCTTGATGGACAGTTTTAAAGTCAGCGCGTAAGAGTTCTTGTTACCTCATCTTCAATTTTGTCAGCATCTGTTAGTGGTTTGTAAGCGTCCTTGTTGGGATGTAGAGCTGCCACAAACTCATAGTAATCAATGTAGCCGTCGCCGTCTCTGTCAAATATGTCTGCAACTGCGCTCATCTCCAGGCGACTGGTAGGGAATTCTAATGAAGAGTAAAGTGTTACAAAATAAGCGTGTTGCTGCCTTTGGTGCAAACATGGGCAGCTGTGAGTTTGTATGCTGGGCTTACTGGAGGAGAGGATGCCCTCTATGAACTCCTGCCGGGTCACTTTGCCATCTTGATCTTTGTCAATGCGACGGAAGAAGTCCATGACACGAGACTTTTTATGGTTCATCCAGCGCATGTAGCGCTTCCGCCACACATCGAAGTCAAAGTTGGCAAATTCCTTCAACTGCACAGAAGGGAATTATAAAGTGATAAGAATAGGGAAGCCACACATTTACAGGAAACGTGTGCTTGCGATAACACTGAGGGCTCATGTGTGTAAGTGCCGGATTACCTCCTCCAGCCTGTCCAGAGCATCGTTCAGTTTCCTCCTTCTGTCCAAAGCCAGCAGCCACACGTGCTGCCACTTAGTCACCAGCAGGTTAATCCGCGGGTTCTTGGTCTCAATGGGAGCTTGCGTGGTTGATGCATACATCGTTTGTGTGGGAGAACGTTTTCCTGTGAGAGAAACACTTCACTGCAACTGTGTTTTCTATCATGTAATCAACAGGAATAGACTCACAGTGACATCATTACAGGTGCTAAACCGGACAACGTTAGGATGTCGCGTCACCCTGCAGTGACTCAGCACAAAGCCAGATGGCTCAGGTCACGCTCTATCAGGGAAATTTGTGGGATACATACTTCCAGCTCTTCCTTTTTCCAGCACAGGGATCTGAGACTGGATTTGGGGCTCCATAGCAGCCTTCCTTTTGTGAGTCTTGGTGATTTTGTCAACATCTGGTTGCTTCCTGGTCATTTCCTCCATAAACGCCTGCAGGAAAAAAAAGTGACAGTTAGCTATTGTGATGAGAAAAGCCATACATTAGGAGTTCTTAGGTTATTAATTAAATTACGCTAGGCTTATTTTAAACCTGCAGTTTTACTTCACCTGGTGTTCGGCTATGAGGCTTTTGACCTCCTCGATTTCCTGAGGCAGCTGCTCCTTGTCCTTGTCGTTGAGGTTGGTTTCAGCCCATTGCAGCCAGGTCAGAAGATTCTCCAGCAGCTCCTGAGTGGCTAACAGCTCAGTGAGGGCCGTAGCCAGTCGCTGCTGGTGCTGTCTGGCCCAAGCCTGCACCTGTAACAGAAGCATCATACACATTACTAATGTCACATGGACAGAAAATATAATTCGAAATGCACTAAAATCATATCATTGCCTGTTTCGCCATTTAGATTGAAATCTGCAATAACTTCTGTTTTGTATTTCTTTTGGGTGCTACAAAAAGCATCAAACCTAAACCAACAGAATGCCCCAGTTTAGTGATTTGTGCATAAAAGGCAAGAGGAAGTCTCTGTTATCGTAGCTCGAAGCATCCAAACAGTGTAATGCATACTGTCATACCTACAGGTATGTAAGGCATGTGTGCCAGCATGCAGCTGTGAACTGACCTCCTCAAATCGGGCTTTAATGATGGTGTTCCAGTGCTTGATGGTGGTGATCGAGTCTGGATGGCAGATGCTGAGAATGGCCTCTCCCATACTGGTCGCTTTATTTAGAGCAACTCGCTTTTCCTCCAGTTTCTTCATGAACTCCTTAAAAATCAGCAAGTGGAAAAGGCGTTTAGATAAGGAATTGGATTATCTTCAACGAACATAAAAAAGAAACATTGCTCGTGCTTGTTTTAATATTGGAGCAACGTCGGAGCCATTTCGATCCGATGATATCATAGTTAAGAAAAATATCTACAGCGCTGAATTTTTGGCAGAGAAGATGACAGGAGATCTACTCACAGACAGGCTGCAATTACAGAGTCATGGTCTCAACTGTTTACTTTAGAAAAAGACTTAATCAAATAAGAATGCCGGCATGCTTCACTTCTTTAACAAAACAAGCCGAAACTGTCAAAATATACAATTTAAATAAGAATGTAAAGTTCAGCTTGGATTAAGAAAAAATCCTTTTGCATTGCTTGCCTTGTGTTGTTCGATAAGCGCCCGCAGAGCCTCCTCATCATCAGGCAGGGTGCCATGGAAACGCAAACTCTGCTCTGCCTCAGCCAGCCACTCCAGCAGGATGTGAACCGTAGAGTGAAACTCCTCAGCCTGCAGACAGAAGACACACATCAGTCAGGCTCACAGAGTCAGTCTACGTTGTTTCTAATGGGGCTTTTCAGTACCTGGCACAGGGCCTGCTCCAGTCGGGCCTGCTTGGACACCGAGAGGTTGCAAACTGTCTCCCAGCGAGTGCTCAGCTCCTGCATCTGGACTTTGACCCAAGAGGAATCATCGTGGCTGCTGTCAATCAGCTCCCTGGCTGAACGTTTGAGAGCCTGAACGCTCACTGTCCGCTTTCCCAACTCCTTCTGGAAAACCTGCAGTCAGCAGTGATTGCACGTTACAATCAGACAACATGAACCTGCATACAACATTCTGAACAGTGCTCATTTATGAGAGCAAATGTTTTAAGGTGCTTTGAAGATTGCTGCAAAAAAACAGGTGGAGAAATGGTTTCTTTCACTAATTTACTGTGTATGATTTAGTCATAAACTGGGTTACAACGACTTGCATAATTCAAGCAAACTTGTTCTCTTCATAAATTCAATAATGTTTTTGTGGGATCATAAATAATCATAATGACTGAACAAAGGTCAAGGGAAATGAACAAACATGACAGCATCCATTTGCCAGACATCCTTGCTAGACAGAAAACTTCAAAGAACCGTGAGTCTCATTAAAAAGGTGCAATGTTCCTTTTGGTGTTTGCAGCTGAACCTTGGCTTGATTGAAGTATTTTCAAGTGCGATGAGAAACAACCGGTGATAATAGGAAATGGAGGTGTTGCAGCAGTGAAAATGTCCTTGTGTCTTTAGTTAGGTGTTGTGTTCTACCTTGTGGTTGTCTATCAGGTTGAGAACCAGGTCTATGTCTCCGTGTACCGGCTGGTCCTCGGCCAGCTGAGGTTCCACTCTGTACAGCCAGTCAATGAGAGCCTGGAGAGCGTCTGTAAACTGGCCGGAGAACAGCAGAGCCTCCTCCAGCTTGTTTTGCCTGCAGGAGAAATAAATCATCCACAGTGAACCAAGAGCCTCTCTCGGAGCACTGCAAGTAGTCTGACTAGAGGGCGGTGGGATAAAATACGGCGGCAAACATGGGAAGGTGCATCCTCACCTTTCCACTGATTTGCCACAAACTGTGTCCCACTTGTCCCTCAGCTCACTCAGCATGTCATCCAGCTTCTGATTATCATCCTGAAGGGAGGTCTTGTCTTTCAGGGACCGCCCTGTTCGAGCGGTGGTGTCATACACAGAGTGTTTGCTGCCCAGAGCTTTCTGAAATTCCTGCATGGGAGAAAAAGAAATTATCAGCACTATTATAAAGAAACTACAATAGGCTTCGCTGTGAGTCTGTATCTTTACATGCACACACTCGGAGGTTTTCTTTTTACTATTGTTGCCATGTTGAGTAGCACCCTAATCTGTGTGGGTATGTGTTTTGTGATTAAGAAGACATTATTCTGTGAGAGAAACAAAAAAAGGGGTCAAAACTCAAGAGCCACTGCTCTTTGGAGATTAAAAGTATCCAAAAGCAAGGCTTGCCCTAATACATTTGGTCCATCCCAGGATTATGATAGGATTAGCACAATCTCTCCACATAACACTGCAAACACAACAAGAGGAAGCTGTAATGCGAGTAAATGCACGACCAATGCATCCTGTAGATAGTGCAATTGTCATAACTAGCTTTTACTATTGGAATTCCAGCTTTAATATATTACACATTCATCAGAGTGCAGCTGGCTCATTATTTTTAGAAACGCTTAAATGCAGACGTTTCCGTTTAATCAATGAAACTCTGCTGTAGGTGCTGTCAAACAGACCCTACCTATTTTAACTTCCATTTTTTCATTGTCTTTTTTTTTTTCTTCCTTCCCCCCCAGTCAACCGCGATAAAGCAATGTTACCTTGTGCTGCACCAGCTGCGTCTTGATTTTGTCTGGATCATTGGCAATTTCCACTTCAGAGTCCAGAGCCTTCTCAGATTCATCCAACCACTCCATCAGTTTATTGAAAGTTTCATGGAACTAATTAAAGATTACGAAACAAATGAAGAGTGTAAGGTATTTTAAAAAGGTTCAATTCCACTTGATTTATCACAAAGTCCTGCATATTGTTCACATGATTAATTTTTCAAGAAACAGAAGAGGCCCATACGAATTAAAATACTGTAATAGGCTGCAGACAGAATATGAAACAGGATAAACATACTATTTCCAGAACTTTCCAATGATAATAAAAATTCCTGACAGCATTGAAACCATGCCTCAGTATAAATATGCACAGAGCAGCACCTGTTTCGCCCTCTTCCTGGCATCGTCCAGCAGACGACCTCGCTCAACAGACCTCTGCACCAGCTTCTCCCAGCGGCCCTGCACGCTGAGCAGCAGGTTCTTGATCAGGACCACATCCTGTTTCTGGCTGAAGTACTTCAGATGTGTTCCGGTCTTGTCCAGTTCAATAATGTGCTCTCTGTGGGAGTTCACCTCTGTCACGAACATCTGCGCAAGTACAGTACAAGAGTGGAAATAGCAGAGATTTAGGTCATATGTTATAATATCAAAAGGGGAATCAAGGGCTTCACTCAGCAGCAGAGCTAATGTGATTTGTGTGATTAATGTGCTAATGAGTTTTGTTTTGAATGACAAAACAGATGTCATTGAGTCATTGTTGGCTTGAGGTCAAAGCAGAATGAGGAAATGGTGAACACGAACAGCTATTTTGTATATGATACTAATATCTGTCACAGTATCTATCATAGTAGTTAAATAAAAGCAAAGTTGGATGATGAGGCTTTAACTTGGCTTCTCAGAAACACTTTTATTCCATGAGCACACAAGTCAGTCATGCACGAACATTAGAAAAGAAGTTTCTTGTCTTCAACAATCCTCTCTGTACAAACATTACCTTGTGCTCATCGATCTGAAACATGATGGTCTCCAGGATGAGGGAAGCGGGTGAAACCATGTTAAGCGTCTGCTCTGCCTGGGTTAGCCAGTTGATGAAGTCTTGCAGAGAGTTGTGGAAATCTGTGGCCAGCGTTAAAGCTTCTTCTAGTTTCGCCTGTGGAGATAAAGCACAAAAAAAATGAAGTAATTTTGTTTTGTTTTTTTCCTTGTAGATAAAGATCAAAGAGCACTGTGCAGCACATAACCCATAACCTGTACTATACTGTTCAGTGCTGCACAAAGGCTGTGTTTGGTTGCTACGGCACCTAATAAAGAGGGGAAAAAAACAATTACACTTCCACTGTGCCAAACATGACCTCTGTTTAAACAGAGGAAATTAACATCTCTGGAGGGGGCCGATGATGAGGCAGAAAGGGAATGATGAGTTTTTAATTAAGTAAGAGCAACATCCACAGTGACTCCATCATCGAAAAACATCCGTTTGCGAGAGCCGAGGCCAGTGGCTCAGTCTCATCACATGACAGTAAACGCTGTGTTAATGACATTACAAACCTGATCAGAGCTATGAGTAATAATGTGGCTCTCTCATGTACTGTGGGTTGTGTCGACTGTCTTGCTAAATATAGAACTGTCCTTTAATCATCTGAACCCCAAAACCTGCTGGCATGGTTGGAAGACAGGTTATATTCTTTACAAAATCACCAAAATGATGCCGTTTGTCACGTCCAGAAACAGTTAAAACAGAAAGAATCATTGGATCTTTCAACTGTCTTTTCACTAATGATGTAAAAGAAAGACATCTAAGCCGAACAAAATCACTGTTCTGCACGTCTTTTTAAAAAATTAGTCAAAAAAACTGATAATGTGTACAAATCAGATTCTATAAAAAAAGAAAAAAGAAAAAAGAAAAAATTCTGCACTTGCTCATTAGTGCAATTGAAAAGCCACTGGTGATTCAGCTGTGACCAACAGTCATGTGACAAAAATTCAGGGACTATAGGGCGAAGATGTTTTGAAATGCAAGCTGATAGGAGAAAAATATGGAAACAAACTGTAGTAAAAGTAAAGTTTTAAAATTTCTATAGTTTGTAGAGTCACTATTTTATTTTTTAGTATTGGTAACACCTGTATGCACTTGGGAAAATACTGATTCCAGTTTTTTGTTTTTTTAAGAAATACATTTTTTTTTTCATTATAACTGTGTTACACAGCATGCAAAACCTTTCTGAGTTTCCTTTACTTCTAGTTATTGTTGAATGGATTCCACAGAGGTGCAGGACTTTATAGTGAAGTGAAAAATGAGCCCACAGTGAGGAAAAATGTGACAGAAGCAAAAAAACATTGCTTGGGGTTTAGATGGTTAATAGACATTATTTACTACAGAAAATCATCAGAAAATACTCTTTTGTGCTTGAAAAAGTTGCATTCAAGCCACTAGACTACAGGAGTATCACTTTGCCACAGAGAGTTTGGCCGGCATCTCTGTGTAGCTCTAAGGTTTGCCAGACTTTGAATATCTGGGAACAGGACCAAAGTAAATAGGAAGCAAAAGGCAAAATGTTATGGTGAAGACTGAAACAACCAGAATGAGGAGCTCCATATCTGGAGTGAGAGATGTGAAAAGGCAAAGAAAATTTATCTTGACATCATCTAAAATGATGATATTTATTTATTGTAGCAGCACAAGTGAGTAAATGTTGTTCCGAACAAGTACCATAGTAAATAAAAATGTTAAAAGAACAACACTGTGACTGATGAGTGTTTATTTTGGCTCGAATATTAGCTTAGCTCGATTATTTATTTTACGAACTTGTCAAATGTTCACTGTGGAAACATGTGAGACCACTGTTGTTCCACTCAGACAGCAACTGCTGTGATCTACAGGGTAACCGCATCCTGTGTGTCCTTGCCAGCACTCTGTCCTTACACCATTCATTATCAGCGCTGGGATTAGAGGCTTTCAACCGCAGAGTCATGGCTCAAGTGCATGTCAGCGATCCCTCGCTGGGACCTAAGACCTGAAGTGGTGAATCATTAAGCTAAGAGCTGTGAAAGCCATTCAGGGAGTCTCTACCTTTCTTTCCACGACCTTCGCCTGCACTGCCTCCCATTTTTCCTTCAGGTTGCCGAGGTCCTGCTCGGTGTTGCTGTCTGGACCCTCGGGCGTCATGGTGAGCAACTGGTGACCCTTCTTCTGCAGCTCCTGATACAGCTCCTCCTTTGCCTCAAAGGCAGAACACAACTCCTACAAGAAAAAAGACACAATGGAATGAGGAGAGCGATGCTTTCGTCAAACAGACTAAATTACACTTTTAGACAGATCGGCTTCTACTTTTGGATTTTTGCACTGTTCAAAGTGTATGTAATGGATTTTTGTCAGCGGTTTGTCCAAAACTAACCCAAAAATGGTGAAAGAATGAGCATATCGAGGCACGTTGAGACTCTCAGAAGCATGTTTCCCACAAACATTTAAACAGTATGATGTTACTAATTTGATAAAAGCTATTGCTTCCAAGTAATAATTCTGTTTTTGGCTTCATGAACTGTCACCACCGGTGCTCCTTTAGGGAAAGCTCGCTGTGAAAGTGTCTCCATTACAGCAAAGACAAACAAAGAAGAAAAACATTCCCAAATTCATTATAGTCAGACGTGGCCGAATCAATTTGCAACACTTAAAAGGCTTTTTGTCATCTTCAGCGGGGCGATGCAAGTAGTGTATTTTGCAGTGTCATTTAATTTTCACACTTCAGATAAAACACAGAAAAGACACAGTCACCTCCTCGCGAGCTTGCCATCTGCATGCGGCCTTTCATATTGTTAAACACATACCAGATGGGCGTTAAGCTGCTCCCGAGCCGTGTCTGGTAAGCCTCCCACAGCCTTTGATGCCAACAGCTGACGTTCTGTGTCTTTCAGCCATTGCTGCATATCTTCTATCTCACCATGGAAACCTTGGGCCTACAACACAATACAACCTGAGTCAGGACAAAAGGTGTCACACACACTCATTGTAAACAACCTATGGCTCAGAGAGGAGGATGTCTGAGTCATTCATTCCTTCGATTCATTTAGCTCCCAAAATTAGACATTCAGCAGGATAAAAGCCGGGTTCAGATTGAATTAAAACTATAGGGTGAAAACAACAGAGTCATTCACAATTGTTGTTGTTCCTTAAACTTACTTTTGGATTTGAACATTTTAAATTTACTCTGCACCAAAATGTACCTTCAAGAAATCTATCTTCCGGGACTTAGAGCTTTTTAAAAATATTTGAAACATTTATCCATGAAAACCCTCTTGACCTGCAGCAGATTATGCGTTTGATGAAACCATTTCTTGAATAAAAATTTAAACCCAAACGATATTTCAGTCTCTCATATCCCTCCTCACATCAAAGCACTCCCCTAAGTGTCGAAGTTATGAATAGAAACTCCACGGGATGCGGAAAAAATGAGGAGGGGGGGGAGAGACGGTAATCACTCCTCTCAACAGAACTTTATGACTTTGACACAACAGACTTGTTCCCTGGGGAGAAAAGAATGAGTCACAATTTACTGCACAATAAATTACAATAAATGAGGCACATGTACATCAACTTGCTGTGAAAGTGTTTTGTTTTTTTTCTATACCTGAAGCAGAGAACTTTCCAGTTGTTGCTTCCTCTGCTCCGTCTTCTCCTGGATGGCTTTCCACCTCTGGTTCAGATTCTCCAGTTTGCTCTGCAGACTTGAAGCTTCCTCTCCGGCGCTGGACTCCACCAGATCATTGCCGGCTTTGTTCACCGTCTCAACAGTGGACTTGTGGGCCAACACGTCTATCTGGAGAACCTGTAGTGAAAAACAATAACTTAATCGGTGGAAAACGTTGATTTGCATTGATCGATACTTCAGTTGGTGTAAACGACTGAGGGGATAAACTATACACTTAACGGGGGATTAATCTCCTGCTGTCTTGTTCCATTTTCATGGATTAAATCAAATATACAGCAAAGTGTGTTTGTTTACGGAAGCCGCCCATTTGAAAAAAAAAAAAAAAAAAGACAAAAGAAAGCTGAGAGGAGGTTTGGCGTACGTGGTGCTTGGCGAGCTCTATCTCGATGGCTTTGGGGTCTCCTCCAGCCTTTCTCTGTTCATTGAGCAGCTCCTCGGTGTGGCTCATCCAGGCCAGAAGCTCATCCAGTGCATGCTGGAACTGGCCCAGAGCCAGCAGGCCTCCCTCCAGTTTGTGCTGGATTAATAACAGATTAAAACATTAGACACCGCAGTGAGTGAAAACACTTGACATGCATATAAGGCATTGCACAGCCTGTTAAAGCTAACGTTGAGCTGGTTTCTTTTCCATGAGAAGCTGGTTTAAAATCAAAAAACTAGTTATTCCCGAGCCGAGATCTGTATCAGTATTTAAAATTTTGGTTTTTGCTTAAAATCTTCGCTCGACTTGTTGCCCTTTTCTGACCTGCCGGCTGATGATCTTCTCATCCAGGTTGTCCCAGAGCATCTTGAGCTCAGACATCGGCTCCTGGATGGCGCAGCGGTCGGCCTCCTCCGTCACCTTCTTCAGCAGGAGTCCAGCCTGGTGGTTCAGACGCTCCATCTCAATCTGTAGCTGGTACGCTTCTCCTTTGTACTCCTGACAAAACGGCACATACAGCGTTACGCCCAATCGGTCAACAGAAACACAGAGCCATACAGACAATGCCAGCTTTGCGCTTTCAAGAGATTAATTTGTCTTCTTGCACATCAAAGTAAATGTGACTACTTTATGAAAGCTATTTTTATGGCGCTTTTGTATCTGCGCAAAACACACACCAAGTAGGGTGTGTTGTGAATCAAACACTCAACATAAACACAGCTGGTGTCCGATATGGCTGCTCTATCCATGAAAATCGCAGTGAAGTTAAAGGAATAAATAAATAAAACCAGAGCAGAAATGAATTATCATAGAACAGTTCTGCTGTTGTATATTTATATACAAATGTTCCAGACTGTACCTTGAGTTCTACAATCTGCTGTTTGACAGTTTCCAGGTCTGTGCCTACAGGTGACATTGAATCCAGTTTGCTTTCCAGAATATCCACCCAGTCAAACATACCCTGCGTACAAGGAGGGAAACCATTGTTACCGAAAGAAAACAAAGCCCAGTGCGCTCGGAGTCACGTTTCACATTTAGTATCATGTTATGCACTGAAATCTTACAGTTGGTCTGTGTAAGAGACAAAATAGGTAAACATACGCAGTTAAAATGAAAAATAACCGCTTTAAGGAAGTATGAAAAGGAAAATTAAATTATTAAATTTAACCAGATTCTTTCACAATCAGGAAAAGATCTTAGAGGAACTTAACACACATGAGTTTGAGCCAAATATAGCACAACACTGCGGTTGGTGTTTATTGTTTTAAAATTTAATAGGGTCCTCATAAAATGCTGTATCACTCGCATCAGCTGCACTGTAATCTGAGGTTTCATCTGAAGGCCTCAAAATTTGCTGGCTCACTCTCTGTGTTTTACTTTCAAACACATAAATAAGTCTGGATGAACAAGTACTCGATTTTCTGTTATTGGTG